GCTACTCTGCCTCTCGTGTTTTCTTTTACTTGCTCCCTCTTTCAGACCCCTTGAGATATGGAACTGGTGACTTCATCCTGCACCATCTTAAAGCCTTGGATATCTCAAAGGGGCATAAGGTTGCGATTTCTAAAAGCTCATACTTTCAATGGACCTATCCTTGACCATCAGTCGCACATTCGCAACGCAACTTTCATGAAGCGCGCCAACTGTAGTACTGATTAAAACCATCTACATTCATATCTTATAAATTATCAACCCAGCTATGTAATTTACCACAGTGTATATTGTATCATTTGTATCAATTTGATCTTGCCTGTGAACTGGCATGCCTCATGTAACAAACTGTTATTTGAGAATAAATTATTATTATTATATTGTCCTGGAAATGTATAATATTTGAATTATTTGAATTGTAGTATGAACTAGGAATCCCAGAATTAACGCAGTTGAATAAAGAACTACGACACAAGCACAAACGAATGTATTGTATTTGGAATTCGAAATCGTGCAATCGACAAGTACTAAGGTATCATTAGTTCATGAAATTTATTAAGAATGTCATTGCAGAGCAATGGATCTTTAGAGAAATTAGCATCTATCATGAATGCCTCAGGGTTTTGATAATGATTAGGTTCATTTAACATATTTTCCTCAGATTTGTAAGAAATTTCATTAGAAATATGTGAACCATTACGAAAAGCCATACCAGGTACAATAGCATGAGAATTCGGATTAATCGATTCGTGAGAACTTGTTGCTTTGCAAGAATTCTGAATTTGATTTAACTCTGAACTGCTTTGCGACTCTACACTGTCTATTGCAATCGTTGATAAAGACAAATCATCGATATAAAAACTCGACTCAGTAGAATCAGAATTACAAGACTTAATATTAGTTGCAATAAGATGAACATTAGTATTACAGACTGACTAAATATATCCAATATCATCAGGTTTAAAGCATTTAGAATTACGAAATTTAAATGAATTAAAAGCGTGGAACTTGCTACAGGACAAACATTGACCGAACTTGCGCCATTCTTCGCGAAACGCACTGCAACTCCTCAATGAATTATCTGCATATTCTTGAGTATGCACTGGATTGAGATGACGTGATGTAGTAGAATTTTTGGTGTCCTGATGAATCATTTTAGGAAATTTCAAAATTTGCATACTTGATATAGTCTAGTAGTAATTCCTTGAGAGTTGTGTATATACTTCCTTATAAGGAAGCGAAATAGGCTTTTCCGGCATAGCTAGAGTTCTTAATGAGCTATATGCATCTTTACCGATGAATGTGAGGAAATATGCCACAATATTAACATCCTCATCATTTTCCTTGGTCATAACCCAGATTTCGAACCTTTCAAAATAATCCTCAAAAGCTTCAGAAGTTGAACGAATATCCCTGACCGTTGTTGCTACCTTGACGTGGTGGTCGGGCTTGCCTATCGTGATGCAGCGACCGAGCTATACTGACTGGAACAACTGTTCCTCAAGGTTCTACCACGTCAGAAAGGTCGGTTGAAGAGCGGTAAGACTAAAAGCAACAAACCCAAGGTCCGAAGGCGAAGTCGTACTGCTGACTGTACAGAGATGTGGCAGCAGTATGGTGTTTCCTTCAGATAACCAGCATGACAGCGATGCTGCCTTCCCACAAGGAGGGGTGAGGTTAGAAAAGGTCGACCCTAAAAATGCACACCTCGCCTTATCACACGGATATCCGTCTCCGGCGGTAAGGTCTCAACAAGTACGGAGCTGACACAAAAATTGCCCATAAAAAGGTCGTGTGTGACCGACCTCAAGCAGTTGTCCCTTGGGCACTGCGGTCACGCTCCCTGGTCATTAAAACCACTTCTAATCCGATTTCCTTTTCAGGTACCTCCAGAAGAACCCTTCCACAGTGTGGGCAACCGGGAAGTGATAACCGCCCTCGTACCTTTAACAGCACTCAAGACCACTGGATTCATAATCAACCTCCCTCTTCAATTCCTACTATTCCTCCTACATCGACTTTCACCTCTAAACTTCCTTTTTCAGCTTCCTCCTCAAATGTCACCATAGCCAACGATTCTAGTGCTCAAAACACTGTCCCAGGTTTACTGAAACCTCGCTCCACACTACACATCGGAGACTCAACGTACGCACCCTATGTCAAATCGGTCAGCAGGCTTCCTTGGCTAGAACCCTAGAATCTCGTACCATTGATGTATGCTGTGTCTCTGAAACACGCATACAAGATCCCAGTGTGGTCATTCACTTCACCTCACCTCGGCAAAACGGAGAGCCAACGAGATACACCCTCCGTGTATCTGGTGACCCGATGGACAGCTCTCGTGGACTGGCAGGTGTAGGCATAGCACTAAGCATGAGGGCCGAACAAGCACTGTTAGAGTGGATCCCCGTTAACAGTCGTTTATGTGCTATTTGGCCAAACGGCTCCGTAAGAACTCAGAAGGATAGGGACACACGTCGTTGCCTTTTTGTCGTTTCTGCCTACACTCCCACCGACTGCAGCTCAGATGAAAGATGAATTTTACAGAAAGCTATCTGAACTTCTTCAGAAAGCTAAACGTTCAGACATAGTACTCGTAGCAGGTGACTTTAATGCCCAGATAGGTAGTTTAAACCAAACAGAATGTCATTTGGGTGGATATTTTAGTATTCCGACACAGCGAACAGATAATGGTGACCGTCTACTGCAACTGTGCTCAGACGATAGTTCATTTTTAGCAAACAAATTTTAAGCATAATAGAGACATCGTCTAACATGGCGACCCCCTACACCAAACCAACGATGGACTCAAATAGACCATATTGCCATCAGTCATCGTTGGAGAGGGTCGATAGAAGATTGTCGCTCATTCTGGAGTACCTGCTTGGACTCCGACCACGCTCTAATACGGGTACGCATCTGCTTGCGCCTCACCGGACGCAAAACAGCCACATTGAAAAGACCCATTAGAACTGAATTGAGTAACGAGAAAACCAAAAGTAAGTTCCAAGAACAACTGAGGTCACACTTAGGTAGTTCTGAAAACGAGGCTGACCCAGATGTTGCTTGGAAAGATATACAAACAGCTGTGGAAACAGCAATGAAACCTATTAGTGACTTAAACCACAGAGTTACAAAGAACCAGTGGATTTCTTTAAAGTCTATCACACTGATGGATTCTCGCAAACTCGTACAATCAGGTTCTGAACGTGATGAAGAACGTAAACAAATCAGATCTAGGTTAAGAGAAAGTCTAAGGAACGACCGTGAGCAGTGGTGAGTAACGAAAGCAAAACAGATGGAAAAGGCGGCGACTATAGGGAACACAAGACAGCTCTACAGACTAATAAAAGAAACTGGAACTAATAAGTCAAGTGTAAGTGAGATTATTTCGGAAAAAGACGATACTCTCATCTATTCCCAGTCCAGACGTTTAGAACGATGGGCGGAACACTTTAGGGAACAGTTCAGCTAGCCTTCAGCTACTCTACAACTACCGTCCATTCCCAGACAAGGTGAATAGAACATTGAAATAGGTCCCCCAACTCTTGCTGAAGTTGAGAAGGCTATAGTTAATCTGAAACGAGGAAGGGCAACTGGTCCAGATGGATTGGCTCCAGAGGTCTTTAAGGATGGTGGTTTAATTTTAGCGGTTAGGTGACTAATATTTTAGCTAAGATTTGGGAGTTAGATGTTATTCCATCTGACTGGTCGCAATCACCTATCGTCTCAATATATAAGAAAGGATCAAAATCATCTTGTGACAACCACAGAGGGATTAGTTTAACAAATATAGTATCTAAAATACTAGCCTCAATAATAATCAGACGCCTAACTAAGACTCGTGAACTGCAAACACGAGAAAACCAAGCTGGCTTCAGACATGGTCGTGGCTGCATCGACCACATATTCACCATTCGTCAGGTTCTAGAACACAGGCATACTTATCGCCGTCCGACAATAGTGGTCTTTCTTGACTCAAAAGCAGCATTTGACTCGGTAGACCGCGAGATTCTGTGCCAGTGTCTGTCATTGAAAGGCGTACCTCAGAGGTACATAAACCTTGTGAAGGCTCTTTACTCGAACCCTACTAATCGAGTCGTCCGCGTTAGTCATCATCGACTTTGAAGACTACTCAGTATATCTGAAGGAATGAAGTGATATTCACTTTTGTAAACTATATTTATTTAACATGCATATTGTGTAACAATAAATGTATTAATTTGTAGATCATAACTGTAAAAATGGCGCGTGCCTTCCCTCGCAGAAATATACCATATTAATATATTAAGATGCCCAGTGGGTGACTCAACGCCCACCGAACACTCTTCTAACATGGCGACGATTCAGCTAGGTAGATGATTCATCTTATGCTCAAGGATATTTTGCTGGCCCTACACCTTGACAGATAATCTATTCTGTTGTTAAACCGACCAGCATATACCATTTAAAACGATTTGTGTATGATCCAACCATGTATGCGCGAATAAGCATCTAGATTACGGTATTCTACACTTAACGAGACTTCGCAAACAATCTGGTTTACTTTATGGTTGAAAAAACTGAATCTTTAACAAGTCAACTAAATACCTTTCAAAATTACAGTGAATGGTTTCATTTGCAATAACCTAAAGATTTATCAAATCAAATGCCTGTAGGTAATTACAATTAAGTGAAGCTATAACCAAACTATTTAGACATTAGACTTTTATGAATTGATTCATGACTACAAAACCATCTTTTACGCGAATGACTTACATCTGAAAACATGTATACCAGTGACAACTTCTTTCACAATAGTGCCGGATCAAAAAATAATGTATCAGCTGATATGTAGTAATGGAAAAAATAAAGCGCTTACGGATGGTGGACGCTTTATTAAAATACTTGTTTTCATTGTCAAAACGATCGTAAATATTTCGCATCACATAAATACTTTGCACATTCTAGAATGGTACGAAGCATTCAGATATTAAACATGACATGAAAAAAAACAACCGTGTGAATGTTAAATAATTTATTGGTATAAAAACTTATGAATAAAGGTAAAAAAAATTATACATGGTTTCCGGTTTAAAATTATAGTATAAAAGAGATATATTTATTCATGAGGTCTGGCAGTCAATAAAAGATCAACTTCTTCTAACGGTGTTCTTAATCTTAATTCACGTTCCGATAATAAATCAACAACTTCTTCAACATCTTCTGGACAATAACGAACTAGATCTGTATACAGAGCCTAAAATGTAAAAAACAATATTGTACACCCAAAACTGACTATTTTGGTTGAAGTGATGAACATGAATTGCTACTAACTGACTGGTTAGTATTGTATAAATCAACATAAAACAAACTTGTATTAAGCACAAGAAGAAAATGCAATGGAGAAAATTTGACAGGATTATTTATATTAACTTTAAATAAATCTCAGTTCGTTATTTCAGTTAATATCGAAAATAATACCAACTGAATTTACTAGTTAAATCAATAACTTCTGTCGCCTTTCAATATTTGTTTGAATCAATGAAAAATTTCAGTAGATATCAATGGCATGCAATTTAACACTGCCAGCATGATTTTGGTACAAAGTTGAAATGTTGTGGTACTTCAAAAGCAAATAAATTCCAATTGTCAATCATGATGTATAGTATTAGTAGAGCCTATTTTAAACAGCAACAATCATGAAAAAAGACACGAAATACAGCAACTAATAGTATAAGAGATTTTTCTGACTACAAAATATGGTCTTTATAAGTTAAAGGATACAATTAACATGGTACCTTGCTTAACGTCTCAGCAACTTTTAAGAAGTAACTTATAATACCACTTTAACCTTTGTAAATTCTTGGTGCGATCGTTGATTTTCACCTTAGTAAGTGATACACAATAGTCCAGATACATGTTTTCTTTAAATTACCAGACAAGCCTTTAATTTGTTAGCAAATTAAAAGCACCCATAGCATTTAATCGCCAACTAATGACCTTTTTATCGTATCTTAATAACTGTTCGCCGTTTAAAAAATGAGAAAATCCAAAAATGATGAAATGTAAGTAATGGGAGAAACTATAATTTACGAACGAACCAATCTAATTAAAGATAGAAAGCCTTGGGCTTTGGCACGCAATTCGTCTATTCATATGGTTAAATAGCATTTCGCCAATAGAGTTGATACCAGTTTTTGATGAAAACCCTAAATTCTAACTCTAAATCTTACTCTTAATTCGAAACATTATTTTAACACCCAACAAGTAGGTGGTATCCTCAAGGTCACTTCAGCATCGCCCAAAGTTCAACCATAAATTATATTCTGACTAAATAATAGGAAAAATATTCTGAATGAAATTACTTTAGCCCATGGAACATCTTCAACAGCTCGGTAAAAAACTGCTTTTACAGCTTGACGACGTTGACGAGGATCTAAATTATTTGAAATAATTGTAGTAGATGTATTAGAAGTATGAGGTGGACCAGCCATCCAACCAAATGCCATATAAGCTCTCCATATAACTAAACGTAAATGCGCCGACCAAAATGATGGTGTACTAGCACCTAGCGCTATATGAACCAAGTTTCCTTCAGAAGATATAAATGATGTAAGAAATGGACTAATTTGCACAGCTTTCTCAAATGCATTACGTACACGTTGATCACTTACGGAATTTCTTCCTATTATTATTAAAAGAAATACATGGTAGTTAATTAATTAATCAAATGTTTTATTGTTTACTAGTAAAGTGTTAGTTAAATATAAAAAAAATGTCTGTAAATTATTACAAGTACAATAAACACAATGATTACAGAATGTCATTTTATTGATATCCAAGAACGAAGAGGTTCATTATAGTGTTCAGATGGTTTAAACCTTTATGGAGTTTTGTGCACATTCAAAGATGTATTGTATCTATAAAGTATATCTACCTCTTGCGCTAATGTATTTGTTTGTTCATTTGAGATATTTACACTTACTAGGACAGTATTACTCTCGTTGTGATTTGGAGGTAAGTTTTATTAAAAAATTATTAGCAAGATCACCAGACTAGTAGTGTCATCAATCAAATTTATTTTCATAGCATTGCTGCTATTCACTTAAGTGGGCTCATCACTCGATAAACAGTCTGGAACATAAAGAAGTGATTATTTAAAACGAATTCAAATTATTTTGCCAAGAAAAATAATTAGTTCGTTTAGAATTCACCGATTATTTACTAGAACTATTCGATACTAGTTGAAACTGTCAACCTAATTGATGAGATTAATCAAGAGCATTTATAAAACAGCATAAAATTATATGCATCAATAAAAAGTGTATTAAATACATTATAAGCAGAGATAGACGGTGGCTAGCAGTTAGATCCAGAACGCACATTTCTTCCTATTAGGGGCTCGTCAGCTGAATATACCTGCATTCCAGAGTTGATGTCCACTCCGGGACACGAACTCAGTAACGTTCTCTTCAAACGCTATCGCGCTATCCACTTAGTTGCCTAGTTCAGGTAACCACTAGCTTGTTCAATTTTTAATCCACATGTATTGGTTGTTTAGATCTTCTCATTGGCCAATAAAAGACTGGTCAATTGCAGTCCTAAACATCAATGAGAAAATCCAAACAACCAATAAAAAATGTATTAAATACAGTTTGAGAAGCATAAAATTAAAACAAAACAACTGAATAAAATACATGGAAACCAGTGTTCAATACCTACCATCACCATAATCACAAGTAACACCAGCAATTAAACTCGTCCATCGTTCTAATTCTAAACTTAAAATGAATAAATCTAAGACACTTGGTAAACAAGCAGAACATAATTCTAATTGATGACCAATAAAACTATTGATTTCTGCACCAATTGATCCTTCAAAAAAATTAATATTTTGTTGTTGATTTTGTCGAATATTTGAACGTGATATACTATTCAATGTTTGTTGGATAATAGATTGAGAGGCTAACTTTGCTACATTTTGTCTTAAATGATTTAACTGATGAATTAAAGAAGCTAAGAATAACGGTGGTAATAGACCATGACATGAAGATGCATTCATCAGAGATAGGGGTAATTTTCTATTTAAAAAATTAAAAGAAAACAAATTCGAAAACACAATGAGTTACATTGGAAAATCAGAGGATTTTTTAAACCGACTTTAACATATACACATAGATATACATTGAAATAGTAATATTTCATCTGAATAGAAACGTCAAGAAGTAAACAACATAATAACAGTTAATTCTTGATTTCACGAAGAAAATTAATAACTTTACAATTATTTAAAAAAATATTCATATCAATTGACCAGAATAACTTAATTTAGTAGTCGAGTAGAGATGGTTTAACCGCAATTATCAAACACATCTATTATATCACAGTTAATAATAGAGAGTAATACTAATGACTAGATGCATAGAAAAATGATTGTTTAGAGTCATTGTTCCATAAATCCACCGAGAAATTTACTATGTAGTTAGGATAATAAAATATGTTACAAGTATGCAATGGTTATTTACACAACAGATGGACAAACATATAATGACTGAAAAGTAATGAGTCTATTTAGCAATAGTAGTAGTAATAGTAGTACATTATAGCACATATAATAGAGCCAGAAACACGTAAACAAGGGCTATAAATTAATTGAAAAATAAGATTTGTAATGATACTCAAAAGTGTTATTGTAATTCAGTTGTACGAAGGACAAGCTTCTTTTCTATAACAATTAATGATACTATTCAGTAGATCAAACCAAAGTAAATGATGAATTAACACTCCAGATCACAACCCAGTAAGAGTTATTTGTGAATAGAATATATTCACTTTCTATTAAGCCTACTAGTTTCATTAAATTAAAATTCAGGAATAATTCCTAGTGTTTTCATATTCCTGTACATTTTTTAGATAGAGTTTTATACCTTCTGTCACAACATGATATTTTAATCAAATCAAAATACAATATTTCTGTCATTGTGGTCATGTATGCTTTAAATGGTACAACTTCGAAAGGGATAAAAAAGAACTTTTAACACTGGTATGAAGTTGAACTAAAGCATCTAGCCAGGTACTTATTAATATTCAATGATTCCCTACACTAAAGTTAACATACAGTAGAAACTTTTTATGTATGAACTACTTAAATACACAATAACATTTCAAAGAGAAAAAGAGATGTGATACAAATAATAATAATAATAATAATAATAATAATAATAATAATAATAATAATAATAATAATAAATATTGATACCTTTGATCTAATGAAATTCTTGATGGAAGAAGATAACTTAGTTGTGATGGAAACATTAAATCCATTAGTATATCACTTGAATGATATTTATTATGTTTCATTATTAATTGAAATAAATGATTTAAAAGTGGACGTCGATTGCGTTGACGTAGAGCACAGAATGCAGATAAACCGCCAATTGTTAAATTAATAAATTTATTAGTACAAATACGATTTTGTAACGGTGCCGGGATTAAATCATTATTATCATCAGATAAATTATTTTCTGACCAACGACTACTTGATTTTGAACCAAGAGGATAAGATTCGCCTAAATTGATAGATAGAAATTTACTACATAATCTATCAATTCGTCCAAGAATAGGCAGTAGACTAGCAAGTGATGAGTCTAAAGCCTGAAAAATAAATTTTTTTTTAAAAACATCTTGATTAGCACTAATGACTAAGTAATCAAATTCATACGTAGGTTATATTATTGGTAGATTGATTTCAGATGGGGTGCCGTTGGAAACCAGGGAACAATGGATAGCTTTTTTAGCCCTAGTACGGAGCTTGTCAGTAGTACGCACCTAAAACTCCAGAATCTTTCGATCATATAGCAAACCCTTAACCATCAGAACCACCCGATCAGTAGCCAGTGTTGAAAAGAAAATATAAATGGATAAGCTCACATTACTGAATGTTCTTATATTTCTTTTCTTCATCAAATCATCCTTATACAGTACACTTCCTAGAGATTATTATCCACACTTATTATACGCAAAAGTAATGCTTCTTAATAGTATTTAACACACCTAAAACATTTTTCGAACCGTTAGCTATATTAGACTTTTATACAACACTTTATTTGATTCAATATCGAGAAAATAGATTATTCAAGTTTAAATAGCTAGAAAAATTACATCAAATATTAAAAAATAATAATGTGTACTAAGATATGTATGAAAGATAATGCAGAATGCAAATAATGAGTATTTGAAAACTATTGATAAAAATGAGTGAAAACAGTGTATTCATTTTGTGAAATTACACCATACTTCATCAATTGATAAATAATGTTGGCTCGTTATGGACACAAAAAGAGCGTTTAGTTCTCTTGTAGAGTATGTAATTTGTCGATTTACCTATCAAATCTTTGAGTATGGTACGCAGCAGTTTGCTATCTACTACTTTGTGAACATGAAACATAAAGACGAGATGATCATGTTATTGCTAGATTCAACTACAGATGCCTTGAAGTAAGTACAGAGGAACACCTAAAATAATAATGCTTAGGTTAGATGAAAGTAATGAATACAGATGATAAATCGATAGATAAGGCTGTAAAACTTCGTTTATAACTAATTTTTCTAAACTTTTATTCGAACTAAAGTCCTTAAATGGTTGGGTGAGAACATTAATCCTCAGAGCTTTATAGGCGAAAAAATATATGTAGGTCAGTATCGGTAATGACGTATGAAATCAATTAGTTTCTGAGTAAGAGCAAAGGCAGTTGTATCACGTTGTTATAATTCAAACATTAAGTAGACGTTTTCAAGCTTTTTCGGAAAAAATTCATAAAACATCACTAACTCTGTTTACCTTTTCATCTGTTGTTAAAAGATCAAACATTAAATTTAAATAGCACAGAATAGGGACAGTACCAAGTAGACCATCTAAAAACTCTTGATAATTATTAATTTGAGTGGTTAAATCCTCTGGCAATCCAACCAATGTTGTCCATATAGCTTCAATACGCTTACCAAAACGATAATTAGTTTTCACAATAATTGACGGTAATATTTCACTGGTAGATTGTTGTTCATATGAATGGTAAACACCACCAATTGCGATATACGTTAGTAAATATAATACACGATTTTCTTCATTAAATCCTTTTTGACAACTACCTGATCCAGGGCATACATCCAGTTCTAAATCAATATAATCCTGATAATTTTGTTTTCCAGGGTGTTAAGTAAGTGACGTAACAAAATAAACAAAGTGAACAAAGAATTAATGATTTTAAAGTGACTAACTAAACTGGATACTAATTTAACACAAGAGAACAGTAGAATTGATCATACATGTATTAGTGCGTAATACGAATAGCACAAACAATTTAACTTGGGAAGTGAAAGCAGTCAAGTTAAATCAAACCCACAAAATGCATCAAATGATATTTAAAAATCAAGATGGATATACTCAGATTCTTAAGTCTGATAAGAACCATAACATGAGATACTTCAAATCTAGAATAGCGTGCTTTCAAAAGTAGTAAGTCAAATCACTCCAATATTAAACATATTGCAAGTTGGCACTTAATTAGGTTTTGGTAATCAATTGGTGAAAATGTCAGTCAGTCAGCTACAACGTAGGACCAGACACGTATATGCATCGGTTCAAGTTGCCATACCTCAGTAACACAACAAGATGGACACCGGATTCATAAAAGTAGTTAATTCAGAGGTGGTAATATATAAAAGAAAGATTGCAATGCCTATCTGATCAAACCAAAAGAGAATCTGAATTAACGATATAACCACTCAAAATACTGAGCTACAGCCCAATTGTACATTTAAATATTACAGTAAATTGAACAACGTGATAATCGTAATCTCAAATTGAATAAATGTGACTGTAAAATATGTGGTCTGAATTCTAAAGAAATATTTTGTAATGTATAGAAGTTAGCTGGTGAACAAAATCATCGGATTAAAACCAAGTTTGAATATATATATGTATATACGTGGAGTATGAACATCCGATAACCTAGTTGATGAAGTTTTTTGCAATATCCCCAGACAATAGATACGTGATTTTCACATAACGCAGCACACTTTTACAAGGTTCAAAAATAATATATAAATTGAATAAAAAATTTTTTTCTTCAAACAACTAGATATACCTGTAGAAGTTTCAATCTAGGAGTATATACAGTTTGATGAAATTCAACCAACTTATCCATATCATCAATTGATGGTCCGAAATCTTCCGGTATAGGATACATGCTTAAGGCGGAATCAAATATGCGTCTTGATTCTTGAATTGGAATAGCAGCATCTTGACATGTAGCGGTTACAAGTAAATCATGACTTATTTGCCAGAAACCTTTAGCGTAGGATCGCCATAAATCTAAATCTTTTTGGTTTTTACCCTCGGATATGATTGTCCGACCACAACTGCGCCAAATGGATATAGCAGTCTAAGTTGAAATGTTAGGAAAAGATGGCAATTACTTTAATATAATGATGAAACTGGATTGATATATTACGAATCTGAAGTAATTTTTTTTTACCTTACTGTGATACCTCAGCTGAAATCTGGTACAGGAAATCTCACAATTTTCAGATTAAAACATAACACTAAAGTATAAAATCTGACAGTTTGTCTGAAACATCGGGAAGTAATGGTGTGTTTTCTAGTTTGATTCTGAAAGACAACAGAAGCCTTAGGTGGTTGTAGGTAGTCAACAAGAAGCCGTGAACCTAAATTTCATGTTAGCTGGTATTCGCTAACAAGACGTATTTGGAATCTTAAAGGAACTGATGTTCCTAGTGGAACTCAGACCAGCATCAACCAACTTCACGACTGAAGTATTCGGTTTACAAACGGCTTTCAACTACCCAACGGCAAAGTATTATACATATGAAAGAACATGAAGAATATGTTGCAGAATCTTATCGTCCCACTTAAGTAATGTTTTTACACGTTGCAAAGGTTAATAGACGAGTTGAATTACAGAACATCGAATTTTTAAGAATTAGCATCATAAGTAGCATAATATTAGTTAAGTAAAAAAAAACTATAATTAGTTCATTACCTACCTTAACATTAACTAGATGTGTTTGAATAGCATTGGAAAGACGTTCAGATGCCACTGTAAAACGTAGTTTACTCAACGTTGTAAGCCAATTTTCCTTAAGTTCAGCAGGCCACCATGATGGGATTTCATTCATTTGACTAAGTGCAGCATCAATAAAACAACGATGGGCTTGTGCCCAAACATCTTGATGTTCATTAGCCAATTGTGATGGTGTATTCAATTGTCCTTTATTGTTACTATCATTGTTATTAACTCGATTATGTGTAGTGTCTAAATTACTCGACATCCATGATTGGGATGGACATGGTGTTAAACCTTGACGTTGAATGCTACCTACAGATGCCAAATCATGTATAAGACGAATATCTAATAGTAGATAAATGAAGAAAAAAATGCACATAGTTTAGTGAATATGTATAATCTGTTAAACATTCATAACGTACAATTTTTAAGGGACAATTATTATACTGTTATGAATAAAAATAAAGATTAGTATTCAGACAACAGTATACAACCACTTGTTTTTCACAGTTGAATTCACGAGTTGACTGAAGCTCGATCCCCATCGAAAGCCTGGAAGACGTCCAGTGCCTCTATGTTTTTAATGGGGATTTAACTTAGATCAACTGGTGAATTCAACTGTGAAAATACTACAATAACTGCGAATTCCCATACTGGTAGTAATCACTTCGTTTTTTTGTTGTCATGCTTTTTCGACCCAACTTCGACCATTATTTAGAAGAAAAAACACTGAATTGTATATTCGAAAGACATTTGTTCATTTGTTTAGTTTTGTAATGAATGTGATGAAAACAAATACTGATCATCCTCTCTAATAATTATTGCCATAATTTGTTTTGTTTTTATCTCAAACAAAACATATTCTCTTCGATTTTCATTTCGTGTTCACATCTCATTCATTCATCCTAGCTAAATCATTCAACTTGCTATCGTCATTACCTGATTATGTTATGAATACTACTTTTCGTATTACAACATAATTTGCACTATGATCTGTTATAACTGAACGGCAGCAGATTTGAGGGTAGCGAATTATCGATCGGACCAAAGATGCACAAACACGTAGAACGACCTAGGGTTCTGATTGGTCCCGCTTCCCTATCTAGCCCAGTAGTTGGGTCCAGAACGCAAGTCACAGCCTCGGATGTATGAATCATTACATTTCAAACATACTTTGTTTATATACCAATCAAGCAGACCACATCGTACGATAAAATAGAAAATAACATTCTACAATATTAACCAGTAGGAAAATGACACGTTAAATAAATATTGACCAGTAAGATGATACCGCTTCATGTCCAAGGATAGCACTAGGCTTAACAGAATAATTTTTGGGATATTTTCCTGAATATCCCAACATGATCAAATGTCAGATTCTATTCTGAATTCCGGATTATTGCCAAGTAAATATCATAGTTAAATGTAACTATGGCCTTATAAATGGTATAGGTAAAAAAAGACTTCCTTGCTCAGGTTTAATGTTTTGTTCTATAACTCAATCAGAATGTTTAAATTACTCAGGTTATTATACTAATTGATTTTTAGGTTAATATTGGAAAGGTTCATTTTTTTCCAAAAGTATGACAACATGATACTGTGCTATTAAGGTATGAGGAGTTTTTAAATGTCAGATAGTTGAATCATTAAAATAAAAAGCGGTATCATAAAAGTTAATATTAATATAGGAAAAAAATGAAACGTAATATAATTAGACTATCTTCTAAAATCCTACCCATAGGAAAGTGATGAGATTTAGCTATATCACGATCGTATGCTCCAAGAAACTCTAAACACAATAAGAATAAGCGCTGTTGAAATAATGCTCTATGAGCTCGACTTTGAGGAGTATCAGCTGTTGATCTTTCCTCAAATTTCCATAAATCTATTAAGCATGGTTTAATATCATCAAATAAAACTAATCTCTCAGGATCTTCCTCTTCTATGTCTTTTTGATCCTGAGCGTTTAATACATCTGAAGGTAGCCAACCAACTGCTTCGCGAGCACGTTCTAGACCAACCCAAGCTTTTCCACGACGATATAAGATGGCTCGACTCTTTCCAAATGAACCATGGCCTGCAAGTGAAGGAATGCTCCCACGACGAACCCATTGATCAGCTGCAACTTCTGACGAAAGAATAGATGGAACAACATCTGGACCTGTATTTTCATAGGATTCATCAGGAATACCTTCTCCTGAACAACTAATCAATGCGTCTTCACAAGCGCTAGCAATAGCTAAACGGAAAAATAAACAATCACTCTTATTAGCATATCATATGTGATTCTAAAAGTTGTGCGAATTTATGAACTTTTCGTTGTGCTGAAAGTAGCAGGAACATGTGCCAATTTAAACTATTATCAATACCTAGGGGCAGCATTTAACAGTCATCGTTACCAAGATGTTACACTTGATTTCCTTATGAATCATAGCTTTAGACTACTAGATTGATATAATTATAGATGTTTAAGTACTCATAGATTACATTTTTAGATAATGACAAATAATTTGCGTAGGGAGTCTTCTTTTCAGAAATAAGACCAACTAGTAAGGAAGTAGCTAGTCGATATACAAATATACTAGTGAAGTAGTTTATTTATTTATTTGAAAGAAATTGCTCTTAGAGGATCATTGATAAATTTGTTTTATATAAGATTAATAATAAGTAGTGTCATAAACATAAATAAATTCATACAAATTTAACGGGAATCAGCTACTTACACAAAAGTCAGTACTGAAATGTGTCGTCACAATTCAAGCAACAACTAAGTAAAAAAGTTCTCACAAGTACAAATAATTATGGAAACCTTGTTGGATAGTTTGTGGAGATTTGTGTATGCTGAAGACAGTTCACACTAGGATGAATTTACTCCAATTTCGGCAGTCAGTAGTGGCTAGTTGATTAATAGGTAAGATGCTTAACTTTCAGTCACTAAGTTCCAGTATGAAACTCAGCTCCACTTCGGTTTGGACAGCCGAGTAGTACCACCAGCCCTCACGCCTAGAGTGTAGCCTATACTCAAGTATCTGGTGAATGAGTTGATTGACTGATAATGATAATTAATTTGATTATAAGCGATTAAATCAGTCAGATTTTAACTAATAGACAGTGGGTTCGAACCCATCCCCACCTACTTCGGGTTAGGCAAATGAGTAGTATGGCTAACTCATATATAAACAGCGTGGTTTAAAGCCAAGAGCATAAATTTATATTCGGTAGGTAAGTTCTATCGTTATTATTAGTGTTATTACTAATTAGGACGAGTTATGCAGTCATCCATAGCAGCAGTTAGGCAATTATCCATAGATAACATTCAAGGATTTTTATGTTACAGGTTGTGATGGAGGTAGGATTCGAACCCATATCCTTTCGGACTGGTGCCTTAAACCAGAGTCTTGAACTACTCGGCCACTCCACCTACAGAAATGAATAAAATTAGAACATTTGGACCGATGGATATCATCTGAAGGATGAAAATGTTGGTTATACAGCGAACCAGAAAGTATATGTTTAATCTTATTTCCGACTTATGTGATAGATGTGTTACTGAGTGTCAGACGAGGTTGTTATTCTGATTAACTTAACGAGATATGAATATATTAAGATATAAATTTATGACTGTATAGCTTATGCTTTTAGTATATGTACGAAAAAAAGCAAATTATACTTTGATATTACTTTTCCTATTGATAACAATTCCGTTTATTGTGTATAAAGCACTCGATTTTGTGCGACTAATGAAGTGATATTAAAATAGTCATTCAGTCAGCTACAACGTAGGACCAGGCACATATATGCATCGGTCCAAATTGCCACACCTCATTAGAACAACAAGATGAACACCTGATTCATAAAAGTAGTTAATTCAGAGGTGGTAATATATATAAAAAAAGATTGCAATAAGGATATAGTACAGGAAGAAAGAATTAGTTCGTAGAAAGAAAGATATGACGTGATTTTAATCTCTTAGTTTAAGGGAAGACAGGGAGTGTATACACCGAAGCCACTGTGATCGATTCTGAGCCATGTCACCCACGGTCTCCAACCATTGGTTGCGATAGTCAGGCGGACCCCAACCAAGTAGTCTGCATCTACCAACATGGCTCAGACTAGAAGTTAGTGACTTCAAGCACTGATGCCACGTTTTGGTTTGGCCGCCCCTAACTTTCTTCCAACCATCCCCAACACTAGCTAGCATTGCGCGTCGTGGTAATCGGTGTTCGGGCATACGTAACACGTGACCCAACTATCTCAGTCGATGAAGATTCACAACCACATCAACTAACTTACCATCATTACCTAATACCCTGTGTCTAACCTCACTATCACTTACCCGGTCATCCCAGCAGACGCCATCAATATTTCTAAGGCATCTGTGGTCAAATACTAGTAATTTACGAGTGTCTTCCACTCTTAAAGGCCATGTTTCGCTGCCGTAAAGTAAGACAGAACGGACTGCCGAGCAGTATACTCGTCCTTTTATTGATAGACGGATATCTCGCCTTCGCCATAGGTGACGTAAGTTGGCAAAAGTCAAGCGAGCTTTTGAATCCGTGCTGAGATTTCGTCAGACACCAATACATTAGAGCTGATCAGACTTCCAAGATAAGTGAAGTTGTCAACGCGTTCGACTACTTCACTCCTTATCCTTAGTTCAGGTGATACCAAAGTAAATAAGATTTTGATAATAAAATGAAGATAACATGGATTGTAAGCCCAAACCAAGAAAAAATGGACCAATTTATGTACAGAGAAGTTGTTTACCGAAATAGTTGGTGAGGATTTATTGAATTAAATACAGTTTGCGTCATAAACTAAAATCAGCTGATGAATTGTTGCAAAACAGGGAATACTAGAGAGCGCTTTCGAGGCACTATTCTCAAAAACAAAGATGGTAGCCATTGATTCGTTTCCATAAACCAGTCAGTCATGGGCAAGACACAGGGCGTAATGTATTTATGCATCGGTTCAATTTGCCACACTATGTTAGCACAGCACGATGAAATTATCAAGAAAAACCTTAGAGCAGTAGAATTAGTAACAGTATCAATGTTCTTAGAAAAAAATAGAAATAGGGAATACGATTCGAGAATAAAGAATTCTTTCATGAAATAAAAAGTATGCAATAACTTTGAACTCAAGTTCTAATGGAAAACAGTGTGAATGCATCAACGCTATTACGAGCAACCCTAAACTAAGATGAAACAATCGTCCAATACTTTTTGATTTTAGGTTTTATTTTAACTTAACTCAGTTTAACGAAAACTATCCCACAAAACTGCCCCCAAATGCCCTGGTACGGCCGAGAATGGGAAGAGTCCGCTCCCTCTCTCGAAATGCTTTCACATGGCCACGCGTATATAGCCTTTGCCAGGGAAGTCCTACTCACTGCCCTATCGTGGCAGAGGTGTTGTTTACGGAATTGAGAGGACGAAAAGTGAATGTCCGGAGCTTTAACCAGGTTGGTGGACATGAAGAGTCCACCTAGGGGTATCGGAAAACCCTGATTCCTAACCAGTGGTGCACATGGGCTCCAGTACCCTGAAGGAACAAATGGTATATGAACCAGTTATTGGTCACCGGCTACCATGGGAATGCATCTCCTTACGATGCTTCACTGCCTCGTGGGTCACACCTTCAGGTCGAAGGCTCCGGGTATGGCCCTCTAAGAAAACCACCTGCTTCGGTTTGAGCACCCGGGCAGTATCACAGCCCTCACACATATCAAATGAGATTTGTGTGGCGCATATGTATTTGGTGCCTCCTTGTACCAATATCTATGCGTTAAAATAAATAATAAATAAAAAGAACTAAATTGTATTTCGAGATGGAATCCGTTAATTGCATTCAACTAATAAACATTTTATTTTGTTGGTGAAGTTGGTTTATCAGTTTTCTCTACATGAATATATGATAGTATTGAGTGTGAAGTTAAATAAATGTGAAGTTACGGATTCTCGAAGTTTGTAAATAATACGAGTTAACTTGAATTATTCGGTGGTCAGCACAGAATTCGAATAACGAATTGATCAACAGCAAGTGTGAGATTCCAGCAATTAAAGCTTGCATTTGAAGAGTAGACGAAAACTGATTAATTAATATATCATTTTAGAAATAATTTTCAAAATCTATAAAAATATAGAATATTATTCATTATAACAAACCGGTTAATTTCCCAGCTACACTAGTCCACTTAGAATTTAGTTCTTCAACTGACATGTCTGAAGTTATTTCGGAAATAATTGGTGAAATAACTTGATTTCTCTTGTGACTTTTAGATAATTTTGATTCTTTTAGTCGCGATTTATCCTGTCGTTTATTTCGAGTTTTAAACCATCCATTCCAATGTTGTGAACCAGGTTGACCAAATCTAGGCATCCCACTTGACCAAAATAATTCCATTTCTAGAATCCGTTGCTCAAATGAACTTTGTTCAATTTCTTTAGGACGAAAACAATTGAATTCAATAACAGCTTGCCATACTGCTAAAGCTCGTTCTGAATGTCCTGCTTGAGCTAACCAGTGACAATAATCAGCCAAGTAGTCTAATTTATGTTATTGAGTGAAAAAAGAATATTATTAAATATATTATTTTTGGCACAAAATAGGTATACATATAAGAATAATGAGTGAAGTAAATGCCTATAACTCTAAGCGCTAAGCGATAATTTAATCATTTTTATTCTGTTGTAAATTATTCATGATATATTTTACTGGTCAGTCACAATTTCGGAAACACAACTTATTTCTAATAAGCTTTTTACTATTTCATCTGTCAATAAATCACAATGACAAATTGTTATAATGAGACAAAAAAAATGTAGAATACATCCATCCATCGGAGTTGTCAAAAACATATAACAAATATTTAAGATGAACACAACGTTTTGACGGAAGCCAAAGGTCTATAGGTAAGTACTTATTATCAAAGACCAAAGACGGTGGTAGACAGCCTTATCGGACACCATTTGAGGTTGGTGATAATTCGCCATACGCTCTGACTCGACTAGTAATGTTCGAGTAAAGAGTCTTCACAAAGTTTATGTACTTCTGAGGTACGCCTTTCAATAACAAACACTGCCACAGAACTTCTCGGTCAACAGAGTCAAATGCTGCTTATATATATATATATATATATATATATATATATATATATATATATATATATATATATATATATATATATATATATATTAGTTGTCATGTTTCGCTAACCCAGAGCTAAACATTAAAATTATATCACGTAAACGTACTGATAATTATCCTAAAATTGAGCTATATTGTCAGCAAATACATCTATTCCTAATTAGTGTTAAAGGTAATAGCCACATTACTAATTTTGTAATGGAATATGAAACAAATTTACGTATCCAATTCTTTCAATAATCTTTGTATCAAAGTGAACTACGAAATATTAAAATTATAAGATACATTATCATCAGATTTTTGTCTTTTGGACACAATAATCGCAAAATGAACGAACATACAATTCATTAATCAAACTTTATCGTCTTAAGAGGTCGTTTTACTTTCACTTTCATACACAGGAAGAATTTGTATTCTTAAACGTATCATTTTACTAAAATTACCATTTCCACACAATAACTGATAATAAGCTGGTTCTGATTATTTTCGCAGTTCTGATATAATAAAGCAAGCCAAAGCCGGAAGTTCATTACATTTGGTAATATTTTAATTTTTTAAGTGAATTTGGCAATGATATAAATGCAGATGCTTAGTTCAACTACAATCGAAACACTAGTAACTGGAATTTAAAGGGGTTCGAACACATCTTATGTAGCTATAGTTTAGTGGCTTAAGGAATTGGTTTTTAGCAAACAGTGAGCAAACTTGCACCCATCAACACATATCTCTATTCAGGTATTAGAATGGTATTATTATTCATTATATGAAACGTGTATCTTAAACCTGGGCATAAGATATTGTATTTAGTTACCTAGTTTCACCAATTAGTTAAATGACTACGTAGGGGGATCTATTTAATAAATAAAAAAGTTAACGAAAGGAAATATTACCGATTGTTCTTTCTACAGTATCTGGTTGTGGTCTATGTGATAATATTCTTCCGGATATTATACCTGATAGTGTTGATAGACCTCTCTTATAAACACCATCAATGCGTGAAAATACCCCATTTCCAACTCCTTGATTTATAGTAGTTAATGATGAATGCCGACCCATAAGATGCGCCGTATACCCACGCCACATGGGTACAAGTTGGGGATAAGTGAATACGAGCTGAGCCCAATCTCGATTAATTTGATCTGCCTGACAGACTTCCTTGTTAGATGAAGATTTCGAGGCACCATGAGCTTCAAGTTCAGCCACCAGTTCGTTTGTTTTAATTATGAATAATTTCAATGTTAAATTACCAGGATTAGCCGTAAGAGCTCGATCAGCCATTGATAACTGCTTCTTCAGTATAATAAGTCTGTCACTTTTAGAAAATTTAAAGTCGGAACACAAATGTTTCTGTTCAAAACCAGTACTTGTAATATGCAGAAAAGAAGCTCCTTTGTCTTGTAAATCAATTAAATTGAACCACGAAATCAAATCACCTGGTCGGTCGTAGACCCGACGGTTAAGTTCTTCACAAAGATTTAAAATATCATTGTTTCTTATTTCCGTTGTTGATGCGCATGTACTAAGTTCATCAGGAAAACGAATTAAATCTGTCGACATGTCACTTTTATCAGATGACTTGATAACGGTACTAGGACTTTGAATGATTGCCCTGCTTGACTTACTAAAATATCGCGATTTTTTTGTGTTTCCACGTTTAAGTTTTATTTCACAGCCCAGGAGATCGTACAAATATAGATCTTTAAATCCCAATATTCTTGTTTTACTCTTCTGTTTAAATTGTGACACATGCTTTTCGTAAATACAACCATGTTTATAAATTTCTCTGTTACCAGAACGATCAATTCTATATGCATTATTAATATCTAGTCCAAGAATGTCTTCCAAAAATACAGCAGTTGATGTGACTTTCTGATTCTTCTCTAATTTATGTTTTTTAGGAGAAGATGGGCGTTTAACTGATTTCGATTCTCTTCCCTTTTCAGTATTTGCTGCTTCTATAGATAATAGAATAATAATAACATCAGAAATAAAAAGTTCTACCATTCGTATGAACAATGAGCTTTTGTTTTGAGTATGTCGAGCTCTGAAGCCAAGACGTCTTATCTAGATTTATTTGTAGAAATTATTTACAGAACCTACTGTCAAAAGATCCACTATCGATCTTTGGTTCATCACCAGAAAGAGATGCACATGGAAACATTTTTACTTGATTGTTCGGAAATGTAAGATTTCATGAATTAAAGCAAATGACTTATGCGTATTCTCATGGCGACATAAACGATTATAAATCCGTCTGAAAAGATAAATAATAGGAAAGATGATGAACAAGGCTTCCGGCCACTTACATACATATATCCTGTATAGTATTTTTCGAATCTTGATCGACTTTAGTAGTATCAATTAGTCAATCAGCTACAATGTACTATAGTTCTCCTTAGCCTAAACACTTGAGTATTTTCGTGAGGAAAGCTTGATTTAGTAGCTTTTCATAGTTCAAAATTGTAAGGGTAGTTAACAAACCATTTGATTCAGAAGCATCAAACAAATAAAATGATCACCTCAAATTTGAAAATCTTAATACAGTTTCCAAACTTCAGTTGATTAACGTTGAGCACAAATACTAAAATAACAAGTTGTCATAACCGTAAGAAAGTTTAAGTTTACAGTTATAATGATTATCTTTGCATATGACCGTATTCAAGGAATCAGTTCACTTTCGATCTCTTTTCTTATATCAAAATGTGATTGTAAGATGTATACAAATTTGATGATTTCCCATGTATTTGGTCAAAAGATTTTCAACAGTAACCATACGGGTTGCTAAAACTCGCTGATGACTCCTAACTTTTGATCAAAACTTGTGGTTTCTCTCATCTATGAGTTAGTTAATAGGATATCACTCGTGCTCAAAATAACTATGGTTTATGGTCCTGGACACAAATTTATCAATGGTATTGGAAAGCTATAGATAACACTTCATTTTTAAATCTAATAGAGGTTTGAGATGAGATCGATTGAACACCCAAATCTGATATAGTTAATCGTCTTTGCAAACACGCAGGTAAAAACTGTTGATTTTAGGGAATTTTATGCCAATTGACATTGGGCGATTACAAAATTTTCATTGTTTGTATGAACTGGCATGCTTGAAGATATAAGATAGTCTAAATAGCTTACGTATGAACCTATTAAATGAGTGATTTAGCTAGTCAAATGTGAAATTGTTAACTAACATACTCAAAGTATTTTGTAGGTAGCCTAACAGGCCTTGTTATGTATACCCACATTATCGTGGTTGTAGTTTTTTGCAATTCTTGCTATGTCAGTGAGAGAATTCTAACACTGATGTCTGGTTGTTCAGATGGGTAACTTAGAACTGACTGGAAACCATTTAAGGACCCATTTAGAATTTTATCTACCATTATTTTAGCTGTCTACCTCAAGTATGCCCCGAATTCGTTTTTATACTAACTTGTTTAGATACTTATTTTTTTAGGCTACTACTCCTAGTAAGTTTAAACGATTAATTGTTCCCATTCGTTTTCAATGGATGGCAAATTATGTCATTGGTAAGGACGGTACCAGAATAATTGCATAATTACTTTTATAATAAAGTGGTTTGAGTAAATCCCCCAGAAGCTTTATTCGGCTGCTGAAGTTAAGAAAATATTTATCCTCAAATCAAAACTATCGGATAATAACCTACGTAAAAGGAGGCTAAAGGCTGTGTGGTTCATGTATATAATTTTCTTGCGTAAAGTTTGAGATAAAGTTGCACCTGAAAAATGAATACTGGTTGTGAAACTCTATCGTTATAACCACGTAACTCACGAGTAACTAGTTTTTGTTGCACACTAGCTGTTTGGCAGTTAAATTTTAGCGAGCGACCAGTGCATTAAGACTGGTATTTTTGAACTGAGTTTGGTCACCAACTAGCTGAATCAAATGAGTTACGTAAACATACTATTTTCCCACCATTTTGCAGGGTTAATGTACATTAGTATGGGGTAATTCATGTAGTACAAACACCGATCCACAGATGTCCAGATTTTCATTACACGAAAGAATCAGACAAAAACCACAAAACAGAAAAAAAGTAGATTAAGGAATAGACTATTATTCTCGGACTTGAGATTACTTTGACATATGACCGTGTACAATGACAAGACGTTGAAATCAGAAACTATCATAAATCAAATATGTAGCCACTAACTTTAGCAAGGAGCATTATCAACGAAAATATGCATTAGGAAGAAACTATGCACTGTCAAAAAGCACAATGATTTAAAGATTGGTGAATCTAATGTTTAGTTACATCGATAGTCAGTCAGTCAGTAACAACGTAGAACTTCGTACGTACGTACACCAGTTCGAGTTGCCACACCATATTAGCACAGAGATGCAGTGGTCGATTCAAATCCCGTAGTGGTAGAGGTAATAAGAGTATAAGCAGTAATCTGGAAAATTAGTGTTTGGAAATGTTATTTAAAGAGTATAATACAATGAAATAAATTTGGAAAGAGAAAAAAATGGACATGAAGAATTCAGAAGATTAGAATTTGGGAGAACACAAAGAGTGTATGCACCTGCGCCATTGCAAACGATTTTGAGCCATGTCATTCAGGGTCTCTAACCATCGGTTGATAACATCTCGCGGTTCCCAACAAGGTAGTCTACACCTACCAACATGACTCAGTCCACTTGTCAGTGACTTCATGAACTTGTGCCATGTTTTGGTCTGGCCGCCCCTAGCTTTCTTCCAACCTACTCCTATACCACTGAACATTGCAAATCGAGGCAGTCGGTCGTTGGGCATACGTAACACGTGTCCCAGCCATCTCAACTGATGAAGTTTCCCTACGTCATCAATTGATTTGCCATCCTTACCTAGTACCCGTTTCCTAACAACTGTGTTACTTACTCGCTGGTCCCAGGGTATAAGATCAATGTTTCAAAGACATCTATGATCGAATACTAGTAACCTACGGATTTCCTCTACTCTTACCGGCCATGTTTCACTGCCATAAAGTAGGACGGAACGAACTGCTGTGCAGTAAACACGTCCTTTGGTTGATAGACGGATATCTCGCCTACGCCACAAATGGCACACGTTGGCAAAAGCTAGTCGAGCCTTTTGTATCCGTGCTGAGATTTCGTTACACACCAGACCATAAGGGCTGATGAGACTACCAAGATATGTGAAGCGGTTGACACGCTCAATTACTTCACTTCCTATCATTAGTTCGGGTGTCGATGCAACCCAATCCTGAAGCAACATTTTGCATTTAGAGGGGGAGAATCGCATAACGAACATGCTTGCATTGTTGCTTAGAGTAGTCAGAAAACTCTGGATTTTGTCAGCGTCTTCGCCAAATAAAACTATGTCATCAGCATATTCTAAGTCAACAAGTGAACCTCCCGGTAGAAGTTCAACCCCTGGAAATTTAGACGGGGAAAGTGTTATATCTAAAAGTACGTCGAAGACAAAGTTGAACAAGAATGGAGAGAGTGGACAGTCCTGACGAACACCATTTGAGGTAATTAATTTTGATGATAGTTCGCCATAAGCTCTCACTTGACCATTTGTGTTCGAGTAGAGAGCCTTTATAAGGTTAATGTGGGGGGTCTGAACGTATGTCTGTGTTCTAGAACCTGACGTAGTGTGAATATCTGATCTATACAACCACGTCCAGGTCGAAAACCATCCTTAAAAATCTCAGGAGTAAACCTGTCAGGGCCTGCTGCTCTCCCTCGCTTCAGATTTCCTATGGCTTTTTCAACTTCGTTAAGAGACGGAGGACCTACATTAACTTGCCATTCAGGTTGACTGGATATTATGGGAAACCAAAGTGTGGCTGAAGGCCAGTTGAACTGATCCCTAAAGTGTTCTGCTCATCGATCCAATCTCCTGGATTGAGAATGTATGATATGTCCATCTTTCTCTGAGAGTGTTTCACTAACAGTCGGTTTCCTAATACCGGTTTCCTTAATAAGTTTGAACAATTGTCTGCTATTACCTAATGCTTCTGCCTTTTCCATCTATCTTGCTTTCGCTACCCACCACTGTTCACGATCATTGCGTAGACTTATTGTCAGCTTGTGTTTAAGCTGACTCCGCTCCTCATCATGTTCAAAGCCAGGTGGAATGAGTTTCCGAGCATCTATCAGTGCGATAGATGCTGCTGAGATCCAGTGTTGCTCCCTAACCTTACGGGTTACCGTACTAGCAGATATCACTGCTGTTTCCACAGCTTTTCGGATATCATTCCATGCTGCCTCGGGGTGGGCATCACATACATGGCTGCCTAACTGCTTTCCCAGTTGTTCCTGAGATATACTCTTAGCTTGACTATTATTAAGTAGGGCCCTAAGAGGTTTACTTGCAGCGTCTTTCCTACGTCCAGTAAGACGCAGGCAAATACGCGCTCGTACTAGAGCATGACCTGAATCTAAGCATGTGCTCCAGAATGAGCGACAGTCTTCTATCGAGCCCCTCCATCGGTGGCTGATAGCGATGTGATCTATTTGGGTCCAATATTGGGACGAATTAGGGGGTCACCATGTTAAAAGATGTTTTTCCTTATGCTTAAAGTTAGTATTTGCAAGAAACAGGCAGTTATCTGAGCATAGCTGCAACAGACGGTCACCATTATCTGTTCTTTGAGCCACCATTCCATAAGATCCACCCAGGTGTCTCCCTATCGCTTAGTTTACCTACTTGAGCATTAAAGTCACCGGCCACTATTACTACATCAGAGCGCCTAGTTTTTCGGAGAAGGTTGGAGAGCTTTCTGTAAAACTTATCTTTGACAGCATCTGCGCTGCAGTCAGTGGGAGAATAGACAGAGACGACGAACAGGCAACGATGAGTGACCCTATATTTTCGAATCCTTACTGTTCCGTTTAGTCGGACATCGCACAAACGACTGTCTACTGGGATCCACTCTAAGAGAGCTAGTTCTGCCCTAGGACTCAATGCTATACCTACGCTGGCGAGGCCACGGGAAGCAGAATCAGGGTTTCCAGATACACGAAGTGTGAATCGAGTCGGTTCTTTATTTTGGCATGATGAGGTCAAGTGAATGACGCTACTCGGGTCCCGTATGCGCGTTTTGGAGACGCAGCACATATCGATGGCGCGGGATTCTAAAGTCTTAGCTAAGGAAGCCTGCTGCCCTATTTGGCACAGTGTTCGGACGTTAAAAGCTTCTACGTGTAGTTTAGAGCGTGGTTTCAGGAGACCAGGAATAACGTTCCGCGTACTCGAGTCGTTTGCCCTAGCGGTGCGAGGTGATAAAGAGACATGAGTAGCGTTAGTCATGGAGATAAGAGAGGTATTAGGAGGTGTAGGAAGGATTTGAATGTGACCAACTTGGTCTCGTGTGCTGTTACGGGTATGAGGGCTGATATCACTTCCCGGCTGCCCACACCGTGTAAAGGTATTTCTTGAGGAACCTGAAAAGGAAATTGAATTAGTGTTGGTCTTAACGATCTGGGAGCGTGACCGCAGAGCCCAAGGGACAACTGCTTGAGGCCGGTCGCGCACGGCCTTTTTGTAGAAGGTTTTTGACGTGTTAGTTCCGTTCTTCAAAGGGCCTTACCGCCGGAGACGGAAATCCGTGAGGTAAGGTGAGGTGTGACATTTTTAGGGTCGACCTTTTCCAACCCCACCCCTCCTTGTGGGAAGGCAGCATCGCTGCAGATGCTGGTTGTCCGAGGGAAACACCTTACTGCTGTCACACCCCTCTACAGTCAGCAGTACGACTTCGCCCTCAGACCTTGAGTTGCTGCTTTTAGTCTTACCGTTCTCTAATCGACCTTCCTGACATGGTAGAACCTACAGGAACATATGTTCCAGCCAATATAGCTCGGTTGGGTCATCACGATAGGCAAGCCCGACCACCGCGTCAAGGTAGCAGCTTCGGTCGGGCCTTGACAGTACATAGTAAAAATATAGAAACTTCAAGCCTAATTGCTTCAAAACGATTGACTGTAAACTGATGTTCCTCGCTCTGTGAATTCGATCTACATGCAAAGCGTTCACTGAGGAACTTATTGTAGCATCCTCTAAAAAATAGGAACTGAATTCAATTTTAAGAAACTGAAGAACAACTTTCTTAGAGCTCTATTTAAAATCTCTAATAAATTTTTGGCATGACTTACATGACATAAAGCACTCACATTTCAATACTACGCATGGATTAATAATAATACTGGTTAAGGAATTACATTCTCCAACACATAAATAATATGATCTATTGATCTCGTTACCCCGCACAAGACGGAAAGACTATAGCTCACTCATTCATCTGGTTATATAGAGTTTCGACATTGTATATCACGTCAGTTCGTGATGAAAACCCTAAATCTATTTCCTAACCTTAACCATCAACTGTAAATCACAATTCTAATTCCCCAGACTGGTTTACAACCCTCATTTGGACGTAGTTATTGGGCGGACACTCTAAAGTTTAGTCTAGCTTCGCTTAAAGGTTGTCCACAGATCATAGTCCCTCCTGAGAATCTCTAACTTACCAAGTGACCTTCCAAGGTTTTGGTTTAAATTAGCCTCTCAACTACAAGGACGTTAAATGGGTCAAATGGTTGTGGACAGGATGGAAGAAGCTTTCGCTTAACAGGCCTCCGTGTCTAGTAGCAGTGAGTCATCAATACCTTAGATCAGGAAACCAGGTTTATTAACGATAATAGAAGAAAAAGAAATTGGTAAATCACAGTAAGATATCCTTAGTGCTTAAGAAGTTTCCTCTTAAAGGACTCCTGAGAAGTCGCTTGGAATAGCTAAGACGATAGTGAATTTCAGCATTCGACAATCTCTAAGGAGTGGTAGTTGTGTCTGCAGTCCGTTCTACTGTGTTGTGTCTCCAGCTTCTGGGTGTTATCCTTAATTTTGTGTTGGAGCTAAACTTAAATAGATGCTTAGCTGCAACACAAACCTAAGGGGTAATACCCAGAAACTAGAGACAGCTAGACTCATTCAATTAATGTTATACAATGTTTTCAGAGTATATGGTAATCGTCTGAGTCGAGAACTTCAGAATCATTGTGTAGAACTGGTTATAAACATGATTCTGGCTTAGCACACCTAAAAGGTTGACCTAAACAGCGATCCAATAGCCACTTCCTCTGGTTTCACAGGTGAATGTATATTTTCAACGTCACGATTGGAAAAGGCTGTTCTAGAGAAGATTTCGGTAAACAATCACTTATGCCGATAAAACGGGATCGAAAGGACTCGACAAGGTATGGATACTCATTGTTACTTCTTCGTTGTCTCTGCCCGCGGTTCCCCTGATCTCAACGCGAATGAAGAATGTAAATTCCGCTGGAAGCCTTCCGCTTCTCTTTGAAATTCTAGCTGCGCAAGTGTGATAGATCTTATTGTGCTCAACTCAGCGAACAGTTAACGGCAAACATCTTTTGCAATTGTGTTCAGATAACTGTTTATTTCTGACAAGCATCATCTTTAAGCATATGCGTAAGCGCCTATGCTACTTTAGTATTTGCCATAACACTTTGATTTCATTGTGCAAAAATATGTGTAAACTTGAATCGATGTACACACATACCAGGTTTCTTCATGCTGTGTTTGACTAACCGAACTATTTTATGAGCAAAAGGATTGATATCGAGTTTGTCAAGCACCTTGCTAGGCAAAAGTGTGATCATGTCAAATGAGGTAGACAGCTTGCAGTTTGCAAGTTAGTTCAGTTAACCATAATGTCACTGATCATAGAATAGTGAATACGTAAAACGGAGTACCCCATATGATTTGGTGTGGATGTTTAACCGAGCAACTTCAGCTAGGATGTGTACAGTAAAACTAATGATGTCAGCATTACGTTGAAGACTTACAAGACCACTTATTTTTGTGATTTATTCACCGCTACAGGTCAATATCCACTGGTGGGGTAGTGGTGACATTAAACATGACCAAACAGAAGTTTAAACTCAATGAGCTTGTCGTTGGTAGACACTTTTCTGATATTCTGCCATGTCCAGCAGCATATGGTTGTTTTTCCGCAATGTAAAGAGCCATGCAGTACGATATAATAATTAGAAACTTCCAATGGAAAGTTCGATTCATCTTAATGCTCACCGGGTTTTATCTTTTCCATTCATCCTGGAAAAGGAAAAAACGAAAGTGTATTTGGGTGTCAAAATGCAAGGAAACAAAATATGAGTTAAAACTCAGCATGCACGAGCATGTATACCAAGCGATAGCATGAACAACTTACGCACAGAAAGTATTTTTGTTTTTACTTATATATAATCATACCTCAAACACATAATGTTGCATCTAAGTTTTGATCTTTTTCGTTATTAGGGCACAATCGATTTATCTACTAGTAACTTACAACCCCAAAAAAACAATATATTCAAATTCCAATTCAGTTAAAAAAAATTTATCCACAAATTACAAGCTATAAACCCATATATCTATCGTTATAATAATGAGTATAACAATTACAAAACAACTCTTCAGTTCTTAGGTTTCCAGACCAAAAGCTTCCGAAGTATCAAACCGAAAACTGAGTGGAACTAAAATGTTCAGGATCAAAGATATAAGCAAATGAGATCAGACGTTAAATAAAACAAATGCATGCGAAACAAAGTGAAGCTATAAAGTAATTATCATTTCGAAGCTGGACTTCGAAGTGTCCTTCGTGTGCCGTTCCAAGTCGTCTTCGTAATGAATCGCGACATACCAAATCCTCGAAACGAGTGTTGGGTGCTCCTTATAAGTATCTTTCTGTTTTACTCGTAGTTTATGAGTTCCCGAAGACAAATTTTGCTGACGGTTAGTGTTTTCCTCTAAAAAATGGGAAAGTTCAAGACTATTAATGCATTGGGTGCTGTTCAAGGCAGTTATACGATAAAGTGCGTCTGTAACTGCACAACCTGCTCCAGAAACGTGTTGCATGTCTGAAGTTGATGAGCCACCTAAATAAGCGCTTGAACCGATCTCTTTGGGCTCTTCTAATATCTCCAAGCTAACTCTGCACGACTAATTGAGCATGATGGAAAAGGGGCGAAATATAGAAGAAACTCCTTATATCAAGGTCAGTTTATCTATAGAGAATCGAGGGTACTCACTCCATTTTCGATTATTTCGAGCTTCTGGAAAGTTCTGAAACCCTATCAAGTACAGCAGCAGGATGGGTAACCATTCAGTCAGAAATATGACACACGACCCTTTACTTTTTAGACGTCTCCAAGAGATTTCTATTCAATGCTGATCGGATAAAATGCTTCCTAGCATTTCAAAGGTCCCTTTGATCTTTTTCGAGGAATGCTTTGAATCTTCTCAACAGAAGTAAACCATGGGATATGACGTAGCTGTAGAGACTCTTGAGTGAAGTGCTTGTCCAAAGACGAGCTCAGAGATAAGGTAAGGGTTTTAAGGTCAGTAAACACAGTTTATCCTCGGCCTTCTACATGGCTAGACCTCTCTTGACGAGTGTGTTTTCACAACTCTCTTGAAAATAATGATCATGTTTGTTAGGTTTTGGTTACCAAGCGTAGCAGAGATTCACCAGTTACCTAGTTGGATGCATCTATGGAGATACTAACTTGGTTCTTTGATGTCATAGTGTGTGAGCAAAGTTGCTTGTGTGATAGTTTCTTTAATTGTGGAGCGCGCTGTCGTTCAACCGTGCGTATCTGTTTGGCTTCGGTCGGTTCCCAGTAAGCCATGTTGGCTGCCGCTTCACTCTGCAGTAGGAGAATGTCCAAGGCGTTTGTTAGAGAAGATCGAGGGATTTAGCTCCGATATGACATTTCCGAATGTCTACCCAAATGCCATGCTTCTGAAGTCGTTTGAATACAATGGCCAGTTGCCGAAGATGAGATTCTCTGCCATGACCCACTATCAAGAAGCCACCAACATATGCGCGCACAAATTTAGGTTCCATGAATATGTCATCGAAGAATTTCTGAAAAGTTTAGAAACGTCGTCTGTAGATAAAGCAATTTGGATTCATGGTTGAATCAAACCGATTATTGAGAAAACAGTCGTACGTTTTAAATAAGCTATCAGGTTGTGGATGTGTGGCAAGGGGTGAAGATCAGGAGTGGTCTGAGCATCAAGTCTCCAATAATCACTAGTTATGCAACAAGCATGTTCCTTTAAGAAACCATATGCTGGTGAGATGCTCATGAGCTGTTGGATGTGAGATACGTTTCACGTCCATCATACGCAAGAACTCATTCTTGACTAATCTTGGATTTTTGATACCTAGTTTAAGTGCTGTTCAATCTTCAGTAGTAAGGATCGGAGGTCTATCGATTTATATTAATCCTTGCAGTTTGTAGCACTGTGGAGGACCGACCTCGTTTAAAATTTGTCAATAGATGGTGCTGATATTACGTGTTTTAGTAGGGAATTCCAGTAATTCACTAATCGGTGTAAGAAACGAAAATCCAGACATAAACGATATGACCTCGGTTTTTAAACTTTCTTAGAATGTCCTCTCAAATGATCAGTCCTAGACGGAAGGGAAAAATAAGACATATTCCAAATGCGGTCTTACGAAAGTCGAGTATTATAATTTAATCTTCGTCCGAATACTGAAATTTTATTTATTTACTTCCAACACATAAATGTTGGTACGAAGAAGCAACAAATACGTATGCGCCACACAAGTCACTTGATTTGTGAGTAGGCTGTGATATTGCACGGGTGTCCAGATCGAAGCGGGTGGTGTTTTCAGGGTGTCACACCCGGAGCGTTTGACATTGATGTCTAATGCCTTTCCACATAATTTATAGCAGCCATCCGAATAATCTCTTCTAATAGTTTGACAGCTACACTGGTTAGACTAACGAGTCGATAGTTACTAAGTCTCTGTTTCCCGCTCTATACATTAGACTAATCGTTGCGTCTTTCCAGTCTCTTGTCAGTCTGGACTGCCTCAGAGAAATATCAAACAGCAAATCACTTACAATAATATTCGATGAGATTAAATTGTTATCAGCCACACCAGGGTGAAGTTCTATCTTAATAACAGAATTTGATAGTGTATTTTATGACTGAGAATGGGAGTTCATCAATCACTTGCCAACCAAGTGATTGCATCCTATAGCTTTTTTACTTTCATGTATTTCTTCTTCGTACTGCCGTCCAATTTTCGTCACACCTGGACTATTAGGAACGGTGACGGTTTACCCTAGTCTTCAATTTCTACTGAAGAAGTATTGTTACCCATATCAATATCAAGTGGTACTTCACATCTCGTCAGTTCCAGTGGAGATTTTACTTTTCCGTCAATCACAGTCGGGTGTTTAACACGTCCCGTGACAGCAAGTACTACACTGTCACATTTTCAATGTCAGTACTCATGTTACTAGCGCAACCACCATCTTTTTCCTTGCAGGCCAGAGATAATGTGCTCATAGCCTCCTGCATCAGTAACGTTTTGCTCGTACAGCAAAATATACAAAGCCAAATGCAAGTTGGGCTTCGAGCATCTTTTGTCTGCGGTGGGACTTAAGCAGGTATAAATCTTATGGAACCACTTATTACATTCATCGCATTGCATTCCTTCCTCCATGGGGAATGAACATTTTGGCTGTCCACACTTATAAGTACTGCCAACTACTGTAATCAGATTAATGTTAAGAACACATTATGAACAGAAAGTGTCAGAGTCCATGAGAAAGAAATTACTACATGACAAAGTTTAGCAATATTTCAAACCATAACCGAAATACTTCAATTTAAAGTAGACCAAGAGTGCTTTTGTATGCAACAAGTACACAAAAGCAAAGATAATCACATCAAGTATTAAATCACTGAATTTTTAAATGCACGTTTCAGGTGACCCTTTAGTCGTGATATGGTGTGTGACCCAGCTGCTATCACACGGCAGCTTTGTTCCTGTTTTTTTACGTTCATGGTAGTTGTTGACGATCCGTTTAGGGTGTAAATCTATTTTCTGCTTATCATTGACTTAACATAACCTAAAACAAGAAAATGAAGTTCCTAAAACTTCCATTTGCTTGAGTGGGTCATTAAATTATAGTGTTGTATCAGGTCTATCCCAATGATCAGCGAAAAAACGTTTGCCGTAAAGAAAATCTGGCGAATTGGGTTGTGGAAACGAACGACGAGTTGAACATATATACTATCGAAGGTGACGGTCCGGTTTCCGTTTACCGACTATAAGATGAAGACTTATTCTTTTAAACGGTCCCTAGTACTCGCGGGACGAACGTTTATTCCTGCTCGTGTTAACGAGATGACAGTCTATCGTCATCACATCAGGTATATATGATAGATGGCCACTTTTGCCGATTACGGTTGTCGTTGTTGCATGAGACAGGGAAGTTTTCCGAAAAGTTTATGATGGCGGGAGTTTTACGGTCGAAAAAATCCATAGGATATTACTAAATACTTTGAACCTTACCAAAATAACAAGGAGAAAGAGCGAACAAATCAATCAGTTTATGCAAGCTTGTGACGAATATATTGGTTATTGGATATAGTGGACAACGTTTTTCACATAGAGACCTTCGTCAAATTGGCGCCTATTCAGTAAGCAAGGTCGACAATAACTTGAATCATTGTAAGTATCGTTAAGTTATTTGTTTGATATAGAAAACATGTTTTTACATTTGTTTGATGTTTTCGCATGGAAGAAAATATCTGAGAGGATCATATTAGTGCTAGTCGTCCTGAACACGTACTCAAGTTCTGTTTTCTCAATATATGTAAGTTGTGACTACAAGGAAGTAGGTCGATAGATTAAAATTCGCTTCAAAGTAAGGTTGAAAAACTGGGCTCAGATAAATTACGGTCAGGTTCACAAGGTCCTTCAGTGCACTTATCTTAGTGTATACAGTTTGCCTCGATTGATAGTTCGACCTCAAACAAAATACAACATACAGGGATTAAGAACCTACTTATAACGTAAAAATATCACTATCAATAAGTGAAATTAATCCACTGAGCCGTGCGCCTTCTTGTTTACAGCATTTCTCAGCCTGAGCACAGGTTGGTTGCTTTAGGACCCCTTGAATAATGACATACCAGCACAAATACTCTCGTAAATGCAATTTCTAATAGGATGTGTTATAATGGCACATTTTTGTGTAATCTACTCGGTTTTGCCGTTTAAAAGTTTCGGCGAGGTGTAGATGAAGTCGAGTTTTAGTCGGATTAGATCTGGATTTAGTAGAAGAGTGGTTTTTGACCGTCTTTTGGGACGGCTGCCCATAACCGTTTTCTAAACGAACGATTTACAGAATACTCAGAAATTGAGTCTTATGAATGAACTTGTCAACCCGCTCGTTGATTGCTTGTTCATATAATCCATCACCTACGAATTGTAATTAATATAGTGTATATGCTTAGTAGTTCTCTGCTTTTATATGACAGTTTGCAAACAAATAGTCAAAAAACCAGAGTTGTAAGCAGAGACTTAATTATTACATTATTCATCACTTCACTTTGCGTTTTGCAGTTATACTAATGCAAACGTAACTTAATTCTAATTTATTGCAGTTGTGATGTCAGTACTGTCACATATTGTGCTTGGCTACAAAACATTCTTTACTCATCTACTTTTCCGTTTTGATCCCATAAAAAAATCCAATGTCAAGGCGTTAAATGAGTCAAAATGTTTAGTTGTTGATCCATATCCCTCACGTAAATTTCAGCCTTCCATCTAAGTGTACTTTAACAGGATGGTGGTGTTTTCTTTTTATCGTTTTCCAAGCCTACATTTTATGTTGTTTATTCTTTTTTAGAACATATGACTCTAGATGAACGCTTTCAAAAATTTGAAACTCTTCTTAAAGGTTTCAAAATAACTGATTCATCATTGTTGTCTTATGGTACTGCCGGGTTTCGTCTTCCCGCTGATAAATTAGGCGGTGTAGCGATTCGATTAGGAATATTGGCATGCATCAGATCATTAAACCTGGTACTGATACAATTTTTATCTAATCTGTTTAGCAATGTAGGGCAGTGGGTGTAATGATAACTGCTTCTCACAACCCACCATGCGACAACGGAATGAAGCTAGTTGATCCTCATGGGGGTATGTTGGATGCTGAATGGGAACCAGTTGTAGTCAGTTTTATGAGTTGTAGCGATGAATCTGTCTCTGAATGGCTATCGGAACATTGCTGCAATTTCCAAGGTATGATCTGTTTTATAGGTTAGCTTTGCTGTTTACAATCTAGCTTCTAATCGTAACAACCCGTTTTATGTAATCTCTTTATTCACAAATGTAGTGTAAAGCAAATTAGAGATTGTAACATCTGTATTTTTACGGAACACTTGTTGGTCAGGAGGAACTATTAGTGTCACAATTAATATTTAGTAAACTACTGATAATTGTTGTAAATCAGTGAATAAATTTGAGGCCTTACGTTTTTCTGTAAGTCTTATTTATTGTGAGCTGTAGATTATAATTATCTTGTCAATCTGTCCCCGCGATTTCTCATCTTTCCTCTTGAATCACATGGTTCGTGACTTCATAAACAAATAGCGTTGGTTCAGCCCTTCACCCCTAGTTTCGTTTAGCGTATTTGTGTCCTAACCAACTATCACTTATATAAAAAATGTGATGAAACCTAAGATAAGACTCGTTACCGTTCTGGATTCACAGAAGACCACTAAGTCAGTCAGTCAGCTACAACGTAGGATTATTTATTATTTATTTCAACACATAGATATTTGTACAAAGAGGCACCAAATACATATGCGCCACACAAATCTCATTCGATATGTGTGAGGGCTTTGATACTGCCCGGGTGCCCAAACCGAAACAGGTACAACGTAGGAGCAGGTACTTATATGCATCAGTCCAAGTTGCCACACTTCATTAGCACAACAAGATGAACAACAAATTCATAGAAGTAGTTGCTTCAGTGGTAGTAATATATAAAAGAAAGATTCTTTATAAGGATATAATGCAGGGAGAAAGAACTAGTTCGTAGAAAGAAAGATATAAAGCAATTTTAATCTCACGGTTTAAGGGAAGAGCGAGAGTGTATACACCGACGCCATTGTGATCGATTCTGAGCCACGCCACCCAGAAGCCCCAACCAAGTAGTCTGCATCTACCAACATGGTTTAGATCAGAAGTTAGTGACCTCAAGCAATGAATTTATGAACTGAAGCCACGTTTTGGTTTGGTCGCCCCTAACTTTCTTCCAACCATCCCCAACACTAGTCAGCATTGCGCGTCGTGGTAATCGGTGTTCAGGCATACGTAACACGTGACCCAACTATCTCAGTCGATAAAGATTCACAACCGCATCAACTGATTTACCATTATTTTCTAATACCTTGCGTCAGACCTCACTATTACTTACCCGGTGATCCCAGCATATGCGGGCAATATTTCTAAGGCATCTGTGGTCAAACACTAGTAGCTTACGAGTATTTTCCACTCTTTATGGCCATGTTTTGCAGCCGTAAAGTAGAACAGAACGGACTGCCGCGCAGTATACTCGTCCCTTAATTGATAGACGGATATCTCGCCTTCTCCATAGGTGACGTAAGTCGACAAAAACTAAACGAGCTTTTTGAATCCGTGCTGATATTTCGTCAGCCACCAATCCATTGTAGCTGATCAAACTTTCAATATAAGTGAAGTTGTCGATGCGTTCAACTACTTCGCTCCCACTTAAGTTTGATTACCTTAATACTTTAATAAAATTAACCATTTGAAAAAATTTATCAATCGTGAGACCAACTGGTACCACTTACTTAATATTAGTCCAATTTTCACATTTCAATAGTGGCTATTTTTCTGTAGTATTCTCAAACAAATGAAAGTAAATCTTTTCCAAAAAGCTTGTTCTGTTCCGCTCTTATCAAGTTAATGCCTAGTTTGCTGATGAAGTTTGATGTTCCTTCATGAACTTATTCAGTATTCATTCCATCGTAAGTGTATGTGCACGACTCAGGATAAAAAATTATTACTAAAATTCACAGATACCCAAATATATGCTGTCAGGCTTTTTGTACTGGAAACCAGCGTTCGAAAGATAACTGACTGGTCCTACATAGTATTAAACTCGCATATTGGATTTCTCTTTTGTTTGCCACCAAAATACTATCCTTATGTGCTTCCACAGTGAGTTCATATACAGACTGATCACTTGGTTGTTCCTAGTGATTTATTATATTTGCATATTTGAAATAATATTTTTATCTACCTCTTTTCCAAATATATGAGTATTCCCTATGCGACATCATGTTTTTAGCGTTTCATCCTGCCTTTCAGATGATCAACTACCCCATGTTGTTTTGGGCTTCGACACTCGTGAAAGTTCTCCAGCTTTAGCAAATGAAGTTAATCAAGGTGTTAGTTTTATGCATGGCATCTGCCATGAACTTGGACTGGTAACCACTCCGCAACTTCACTATTTTGTTCAATATATTGTAAGTTATTGGGATTGGCCAACTCATTAAAAAAATGTTCACAAAACCGTTTTTTTGTTGGTTTAGGCGTTTTTTAGAGTCGTACATTTCTACTTTCTTTATTATTAGAATAACTTACCAGTTTATTATACAGAATATGTCATTGTTAAGTCATTAGTGTAGTGTTTGAGAATAGAATTTGAACTACTAGGAATAATGAAGTTGCTTGCCTTGAATATCGCATACTACCGACGTTGGGTGACTTTTAAAATGGCTCAGTGATAACACAAACAGTTTTAATTGTTCATTTATGGTTGTAAGTGTAATAAAACTTTGATATTTACAGGACTTTTGTATAACTTATTAAGCCATCAAGGTTTGTGTATGTGTTATCTTGTGCATCACTAATAACGTGATCTTTTTGTAAGCTAACTTAGAAAGGAAAAAATGAACCGGTGGTTATTGGTTTCCTTTGTCAAATCAAGTTTCATCAGAATGAATAAATACTTCGCATATGTTTATGTTTATAAAAAATCATTCTACTCCATAATGTCGTTATTGACTTGATCACCACTTAGAAATAGTCTTAAATACTCAGTGAAGAAATCTACAAAACGGTTGATTCGGTAGTATAATATAATTTAACTAGTTAACTGATGCAATGTCGTGTAAAGTGATAAAATCAGTAGACGTGTAAGGCAAAATTAATAGTGATAGCTGACTATTTTTATGATCGACATAAAGAAGATAAGGAAACTGAAGTCAGTCAGTTAGTTAGTCAGCTACAACGTAGGACCAGGCACATATATGCATCGGTCCAAGTTGCCACACCTCATTGGCACAACAAGATGAACACCAAATTCATAAAAGTAGTTAATTAAGAGGTGGTAATATATAAAAGAAAGATTGCAATAAAGATATAGTACAGGAAGAAAGAATTAGTTCGTAGAAAGAAAGATATAAAGCAATTTTAATCTCACGGTTTAAGGGAAGAGCGAGAGTGTATACACCGACGCCATTGTGATCGATTCTGAGCCACGCCACCCAGAAGCCCCAACCATTAGTTATGATAATCACGCGGACCCCAACCAAGTAGTCTGCATCTACCAACATGGTTTAGATCAGAAGTTAGTGATTTCAAGGACAGAAACTGGAAGATAATAGTTGCCATTGATTAGCTAAACAAATGGGATGGATAAGTTTGGGATTTTAGTAAAATATAATATTTAATCTGTTGCTCTCATATAAGAAGTTCAAACTCAAGCGAGTTATACCTTCAAGTCTGTTGACAGAATTATACGCTTTTCATGATACTCAGGCCAGGTAATACCTGATATCTATCTTCCTTCATTAGGAAATCTGAAGGAGGTCAGGTAATGAATCAGAGCGTACTCAAGATTATTAACTAATTGATTGCTCACTCTCTGTGATGATTAGGAGTCTGTAAGCTTCAGAATGCTTTGATACGAAAATGAGCGACACGGTTTATAACGGTTCACACTGAAATTTTCTCATTCAGTCTATGCAATTAGAAACTTACATTAAAAAAAACAAATTTAATCTCATGAAAGTTGATATCTTTAATCGATTTGGAAAAAGGCCATACATTTTGTTATGTGATCGTTAGAGTTTGTAAAAGTTTTATGAGACATATGACAGATGAATAGTGTAGAGTCTTTTTTTTTCTTTCTTTGCGCTATATTTCCCGTTTTTGTGGTGTTTTTAGTGAAAGCTTGTATTTTCATGTGAAATTTTCAGTTGAATGGACCAGAGCTCTAAAGTAGACATAAGATTAGTTAATATTTTAAATCAGATAGGTTTCGTTGTTATTTCTGTGTTATATCTCACCGTAATATTTTCCTATTCTTTATGAAATTACAGAATTCAATTGGTAGCCCATGTTCCAACCAACTCGTTGATTTAGAAACTATTTACGTTCATCATTTTGCTGAACGTTTTACAACTGCGTTAGAAAATTTACAAAGTTGTACTGAATCAATACATTTAAATATAGACTGTGCACATGGTGTTGGTTCTAAAGTTTTAGAACGTTTTCGTGCATATTTTTCATCTGTCAAAGGTCCACGTAGATTAATATTACACTTATATAATACAGAGACAGAGAACAAAGAGTTACTTAATCAAAATTGTGGAGCTGATTTTGTTAAAGTAAGCTATTTGTATGTTCTTTTTTGTTTTTACGAACAATATTTAGCAAAAACCACATTTACATGCTGTGTAACAAACCACATTAAATCAGGGGTTAGATAAACTGAAAATTCGATTTTCCACCTCACAATATGCATGATTTAGATGTCGAAAAATAGATTCATTTTGGTTACAACTTGATGGGAGTCTCATTCGATTAAAAGCCAGATGTTTTGGCTTTTAACTATGTCCACATAGCAACATGCAGAAACGGTGTAAGTCAAGTAGGAAACTAGTGTCTCTATAACTGAGTACATTTAGTCTTATTCGTTGTAGCGAATCCCCTCTCTAAAAACTATCCTTATGTGATAATTTAATTTGTAGAACTTGTTGATATTTCATTTGTTTGGGCTATAATTTTAAACTCTTAAAAATACCAGGCCGTTGGTCACACTTCCATCAAAGCTAATGATACTTTTATTGTCATCTGAATACATAAACATTAAGTTAAAAATTTTTAAAGTAATTTGAAGGTTCTGCAGAATTTCTTTTAGTTACTCTATAAACATATTTGGTTTCACGTTCACACTAATTGTTTGTCGGTCAACACGTGTAATGGTTACACACGCGTATATACATCTTCTTGCTACTTAGAGATAGCGGAATCTAATTAGTTAAATTATTTCGGTTGTATTTGATAACGAAATAAAAACAATCGGTAACTGGACTTGTTTTATTCCTTACCATTTAATTGTTAAATAAATGTTTTCTCAACATTTGAATAGTCTCCATATAAAATGCTGACTTTTTAATTTATAAAATGACACGTATCTCAATATACCAACTGTCAGTCATATGTGTATTTTAGTCGAACTGAATTTCATATTCAAAACCTTGTATTTACATGTGCAGTATGAAACTAGTCGTTTTTAATTTTATTGAAAAGTGTAGAAATAATGAGAAGTCAATTAATATCTTTCTAATTGAGGATGAGTTGATAGTTTTTTAGTTCTAAATATTTATTACTATTGTTTTTAATGGTGAAGTGTGTTGAGGAATATGTTAGATATATATAATTTCTCGTGTTACCAATAGCCGTATTTCTTTATATGTGTATTTATAATCTCCTGATATTGAGTGATACTCGCTTAAATCCCTCAAGAAGCATAAATTCCCTCAAGATTATAAATCTGTCTTGCTGACGAGACTATCAAATGACATAAAATCTATATTCATAGCTACTGGTCAATTACTTTTCAACCACGTAACATATTTTTCTGTGTTTACAAGCCTAACTTTTCTAGATATTAAGTTCTTTGAATTTTTACTGATATATACGAAACCTTAATAAACTGTTTTTACTCTTCACTTCACTGAAGTTGTGAACATCAACCATTGTTCGTATTTTTAAATAGCTGTTTTACCTTTTTTCTTAGTTATATCTGTGCTGCGTTCTCCTATTTGTTTAACAGATAACACTAAATGCACCAAAGTTAACCCCACCGAATGAACAGTCTATTATGTATCCAGATCGATGGGCAACAATCGATGGAGATGCTGATAGACTAATCTATTTTCGACCAATTTTTACACATTGTTCATCATCTTCAGGTAATAGGTTAAATAATGACATGAAAGAATTACATCTAACTGAGGCTGTAGCTCAACAAGTTGAACTTCTGGATGGTGATCGTATATCATGTCTTTTTGCTCATTTTCTTGTTAAAGTTCTCAAGTCAGTATCTTCCGATCGTAATTTAACTATCGGAGTCATACAGACAGCCTATGCAAATTCTGCATCTACACGTTATTTAACTGAACATCTTCATGTATCAGTAGTTTGTGTTCCAACTGGAGTAAAACATTTGCATCATGCAGCTCAAAGTTTTGATTTTGGGATTTATTTTGAGGTAATAAATTTATGTATTATTTATACCTTTAGTTTCGATCTGGTATAACAATAACTGAAGTCTAACATTTCAATATATTCAGTGTAATATTCCATTCATCAATGTTTCAATCTTCCTGATAATCATTAGAAAGGTGCACCCAAAAGTGTTTTCTTAGAAAACTTATACCTTCCTTAAAATTTGAATCTGGATAAATTATATCCAAGTTATTCATAACAATTTATTAGCGATACTTGGAAAAAGTCTTAGTTCTTTCAAGCTTTGTTGGGTACTTAGCTAATGTGTAGCTGCAAAAAAACACTAAACTCAGCGGCCCTTGATGTCTCATCGTTTAGTTTTAGTATCTAGACTACATTCTCCACTAGATAAGGTTTTGCTAACGTTACCTTAATCGGAAATCCTAAAAGCATTAATTAGTAATAACTACATGAAGGTAAGGTTAAATTTTCCGATCCGAAAGTATTAATACACTGCTTAAACAGTATTCATTCTAATGCAAAGGTTATCAAACCTCAGTTAGTAATAGCTAATTTTAGAATGGCGGCTATTCAAAGAATAATTGTGTAGTAATTCTTGAAAAGCGATTTCTAATAAAATTTTCCGAGCATCTCTAGCCTTATGGTTAGTGTATGTGTTCTCTTTAGTACCATTTAGTTAAAAAAATTTATTAACAAACTTTTTAACCGGTTTGTGTTTTGTACTTTATGAAAATATCTTTGCTCTAGTTTTCAAAGATTGTTGCGCTTTGGGAATACAAAACACTGATCCACTTATTTTTTGAATTCCTCCAGTAGTTTATTTAACATTGATTAATAATACTGTTTATTGCTCAGTTATGTGAGAGAACATACGTTCAATGTTATTGTTAACAATATTTGTAGAATGTCGACAAACATCTCATGTGTATTCTCATGCTTAGTGAACATATTTTTCCTAACTATTTCAATGAGGAAATCAGCATTACTGAGAGGAGTCCCACACTAGGACGAAATTGCCGTCCAGTGCTTTCAGGTTTTCAATGGTGATCTAACATTGATCAGTTCATGACCTCAATTAAAACTCAACAATCCCCACAAACCCATTGTGATATATTTTACTTCTCAGAAAAACCATGCTGAGTTTACCATCTTAGTACAAAATAATAGCAAAAATAATTACTATGATGGTATCAATGTGACGTTATGACTTCAGCTTCATTGTAAAGTCACTTTTTCAATAACATTTCATAATTTCGCGTAAATATTTAGGATTTCAATTAATCGATATCTTTTACCGTATGTCCATCTTGAGCGGATAATGAAATCCAATCTCTAAATAGATCCATTGCTGTGCTAGACTTACACACTAAATATACTGAAAATTAAATAAACAAGAACTTTTTGTGGGATTTCATTTGATTTAGCTCATTTTTGTTTTCCAATCATTTATTCATTTTCTTTTTTGTGTTTATCTTTTGCCTCTCTCTTCTTTTTGATATTTTATTTTTGTGGAATAGGCTAATGGACATGGAACTGTATTATTTTCCAAACATATTTTAAATTTTGCAAAAAATCTAAATGTGAACAATCCACTTCGTACATTTATTGATTTAACTAATACTTCAATTGGTGATGCTATAACTGATATTCTATTGGTGGAATATACATTAGCCTGGTTAAATTGGTCATTTATTAATTGGTTTTCAATGTATGATGATTTACCATCGAAACAATTAAAAGTTACTATAGCTAAACGTGATCTTATACAAGTTACATGGGATGAAAGACGTGTAACAAGTCCAACTGAACTACAAGTAAATTTAACAATTTTATTGTCAAGGTCTAGTTTACTTACATTGATTAGTTCTTTTAAGTAATAGAAATGTTTCCATAGTAATCTCTCTCTCTCTCTCTCTCTCTCTATATATATATATATATATATATATATATATATATATATATATATATATATATATATATATATATATGGAGTGATAGTTGAATGATTGAGTTTCCATTTTATAGATGTGTTCATGTTCATTCGATGCTTTTGGACTTTATTTCTCGTTTTATATTTATGTCAGTTGTTTATGTAAAATATTTCTCAATTATCTGTTCACCCACCTAGTTAATCATAATCTGTAAATTACTAATATACTAAATTTCCTACTCTACAATTGTGTACAAGTGTTCAAATAATGATCGTTAGCGCTTATTCAATACTGGTCGTAATGATAAAATTTTTAAAGCTTCTTGAAGTTCTATTAAATCCGATTGTTTGTTAGATTCTTAGTCTGGAATACTGCACAGGTGCACAAGCTGAAGCAGAGTGGAATACAGAGTTACAACTATGTTCAACTTTGCTGTAAACTTCCAGTGCTATTTATTTCTAATGAACTAAATGTTTAACAATTAAATGTGCTAATTAGAGATTTACACTGAATCATTATTGCGAAGAGTTTGGATTATCCCTTCGTTAGTATTGTCGGTTAAATTTTAATCGATCTTTGTCGAGATATATACGTCCTGCTTAGATTGCCTCGATGCGTCCATTTTATTACAAGTTACACAGCATAGAAGTATTGCGTATAGATCAGTGTAGTCTAGGTCGCGTGCTTCGTCTTATTTAGAACTCATCAGTTGGATATACTTGTACTTTTGTTGATATTTACTGATATCATTACTGGGAATGGTTTAGATAGGATATTCAGAAAAATAAGTTTTTAAATGAATATTTTTTTTATTAACGTCATCTTCAACTTGTGCAAATATCAATTCTTAAGTTTTGTGTCACTATAAGTATCTTAAATGGACAAGAATACGAATGTAAAGTCATTTTTCAGTAAACATTCTTGATGTTTAGAAACGTGACACGTAAGATGCTAATCACGAGACTAAAACCTATAAACCTATCACCATACTACTGTTACTACTACAATGATCTATTACTATAACTCGTCTGGTCACATTAATCAAATGAATAAAGTTTCACATTTAATCTTACATATCTAGGTTAAATAATTTTATCATTTGTCCGTTAAAGTTATAAAATGTCATCCTATGGATCTATGTAACATATGTCTGGAAATTTTTTTATAGTAAATTTCAAGTATATATAGATACATACGTGCCAGACAGAGTAAATGAGGAATGTACATGTGATATATATATATATAAACACTCAAAGTAGTTAATGTTAAATCAGAGGTAGACTCACGTAGTTATCCTATTTATTTAAGTAAGTTCTGAGATATTTTTATAAACTTCTATCAACCCTAGATCTCTGATCATTTGAGTAAGCATTGAATCTTATTTTCATAGATCACTATAGAACAGTTCATGTATATACGATGTATGCTACTTATGTTGACAGATATAAGTAGTATGTAGCGTCAATCGGAAGTGGAATGCCTGCCAACTGAAGATTGAGAAGATTGAATTAGAGAGAACAGGAAAGGAAACAGAGAGCAATTGTAATAACAGGATTGAAAGAGTCGTAAAGCATGTAAAGGACAACTGAAATAATATGCGCAAATAATGTATTTAATGTATGATTTCCATATTTTGCATTAAACAATAAATAGGTTTCCTCCAACTGAGTGTTCATCCACTACACATATAAAATACAGAAAACTTATTGACCTGCTTATCTACCAGTAATATATCTTTCTAAGATTTAATTGTAGTGATTAATATAGAAAAGTACCTTATGGTAATGATTTGTAAGAGTTCGAACCAATCACCTTCATCGAAATTTTCTTTGGATTAGCTAAAAAGCTGTGTACAAATTGCTATGTCAGGATAAATATTAAACAAAAGTGAATTTTCGGAACAGTCCTACATGAATTTGCTGCTTATAATTTTGTTGTATAATTATTAAATAATTGAACGATTATGTTTTTCTCATCCCGCTATTTTCAAGCCTTTATTTGACATAAATCGTTGTTGTGTGTTTTACCTTTCCGAAATTATTGCTAGTGTATGACAGACCTATCACTCAGTCCTTTTCAACTCGTAAAGTGGTTGTTCCCATATTGTAATTTCTTAATTCGATTGATCTGTGATCAGGATTTTACTCAGTATTATTGTATAAGTGATTCATAAATTCGAACTGTATAATTAGGTTTTATCTGCTTTTTGGGTTGTTCTCTATTCTGACAAGCGGGTGGTCGAGTCATTTAGTTAATCAGCGTATAGAATGGTATATTTGTACACAATTCGACATAACATAACCGCATGGATGTACAAACATAGATAATGTAGAACTAATATAAAATATAAATTAATATTCAATTAGATTTAGTCTTTTGATAATGTATGTATATATCAGAACTGTTTAAAATGTGTCGGTATAACCCTGACATATATTAGTTGATTTTATTCAAACAGTTAGTGAAAAGTCATTCTTTCTTCAATGGAATTTATAAACAGTAGTAATGATAGCGCTGGCTCATTATCGTTTGACATTTCAAAGCTCAAACAGTCAACTAATATTATAAACTTATGTTTATTAACAATTGTAACTTTTATTTATCACTTTGGAAAAACTGTTTTTAAGCTCCAAGAAATCTAGGTTTCTGTAATGATTAATGATTCGTAAGCTATTTATCAGAATAAATTTCTGGAATCTACTTTCTCTAATATTATACTTAAATCGTGAAACGTAACATTAATCTAAAAGGATAATTTCTCATTGAAATTTTGCTAAAACTTACATCTTCGTAATAAGAGTTTTAACCGTCATCTAGTCTCAATAATTCTTGTAAATCATGGTCTGTTCATTCTTAATACTACTGTTAATGATAATTATCATTTACTCTTTGATTTCTAATATATATGTGTTTTACAATCCCAAGATTGCTATCGATGAAGCTGTTCAACAAGCTGATAAATTAGTTGATAAAATTGGTACATCACGTGCATTTGTTCGTCCTTCAGGCACAGAAGACACTGTACGTATTTATGCTGAATCGTATACACACGAAGCAACTGATTGGTTATCCGCAACAATCGCTTTAATAACTTATAGATTAGCCGGTGGAATAGGTCCTCAGCCCACACCTCCTAAACCTCTTCATTCCATTTGTAATTGATTCATCAACTATTTCTAATCGTAATTAATGTGAATTAATGTGCTGATCGGTGCTCTTTCTTTCCTCCTTTCGTTCTGTCTTGCTTTATTTAATCATATTTAGTTATTTTAATGTATTTTGTTATTATTTGTGATCTTGTGAAATTATAACTTTTGTCTCTTTACTGTTTTTTCCTATGTTCTCTCGATTATATCTGATGGTAATTATTAAGTAGTCAATTTATTTAATTTTATATCATGAAATAATGTGTATTACAATGTGATATAGAATATTTACAATAAATTAATTTTATACAGAACAAATGTTATTAATAATGTCTTATTTTTAATTTTGTTTTAGAAAGAAGACTGTGTTAGATGGTTGGAGGTAGTCGACAGGAAACTCTAGATCTAGGTCTCATACTATTTGACACTCGTCAATGGGTTATACTCATAGTTATGAAAGAAGTGCTCACAACAGATTCTGTTCCATGTCATGTAGCTCCACAGTTAGAGACGCTACCATTAAGCTGCCCAGGTCACGACTGACCTGTAGGATTATAATATTTACAACTGATTGAGCGATAAGTAGTGACCAATGTCATGTTTATCTAGTTCCTTATAATTCTGACCGGTTCCTGCTGTTCAAGTTGCAACTTGACAAACATGATATTGGTTACCGCTCAGTTGTCAATCAATTATATGAGACTGTGTGTTTGTGAAAATGTAATTAATAATAGTGATTGCTTCAATTTTTTGAGTTTTATGTTCTTTACGTATTGATTTAACTTTATTAGTAAAAACATTTTATTCATATTATTGTTCTTTTCGCAATCATATTTTTCTGTTGTTTTAGGGAACATGATTAAAAATATTGTTTGCTTGTGATCTATTCGGTATATATATATATATATATATATATATATATATATATATATATATATATATATATATATATATATATATATATATATATATATCACGGGTTGTGTTCTTCACGAATTAATCCCAGCTGGGGTACCATTGAAAAATAGGGAGCACTGGACAGCTATATCCCACTGTGAAACTCCTTAGAATTGCTCACCCGCTTTCCTGTACATGGATAAATATGTGTATATTACGACGGTTGCAATCTCCCTAATTTTCCCACTATGGATGGATTTGGAAACTAGGTTGATAGTAATGGTCCTAGAGACCTGAGAGTATGATCACGGAACTCCAAGTACAACTAATTGAGTTAGGTCTCACACAGTGTTTTGGATGCGGTCGCTCTTGAATGATATATATATATATATATATATATATATATATATATATATATATATATATATATATATATATATATATATATATATATATATATATATATATATAAAGTCTTTATAAATAATTGCTTTGTCGGAGAAATGATTTTGTAACTTATAAAATTTTGATGTAGTGAATAATTGTGAGTTGCTAAAGTTTTGTACTTTAAGATTTTCAATCTTAAAGTTATCGTACTTTATGTTTGTGAAGGTGAAATTAAAGGAATACCACCGTTGAGTCAATCACTATTTACATTTCAGTAACGTGTTATCATAATATAGTAACTGATAAATTGACATTTTAAAATGAATTATGCACAAATATTGTTGAGTTATTGTATGATATTTGATTATAAAACATACAATAATATGTTATATTTAAATAATTTAATCAGTTATGATGGAAGTCTAAAAACTAATTAGTCGATTGGGTTTATTTTTTAAGATTAATTTTTCATGCACTAGTAATATTTTCTGTAATTTTAAAAACTACGTCAGACTGACTTAATGAAGTTTTTCATTTATTTAGTAAATGTAAATTTTCATTTCGAATTATTTCCATTTCAGATAAAACATTTCAATGTACAATTTTTCAAAAATTTCTCCATTTCTACTCAAAATTCGATCATGTGTTATTTTACCTCAATGTGGTGGACGTTATTTCCCTCCAGGAACACTTTATCGTCCACATCATGAACGTTTTGATGAGAATTGTGAACGTAAACCACTGCCTCATCCGGAAACTCCAAGGTTACAAGGTATTGATAAACTCATATATCTGTATTATGATTCAATTTTATTTAGTCTCCGTTGTTAACTGATCTTCTACAGTACTAATGATTAATATGGAAATAACTAGGTCTTACTAAATCAGTCAACTGGTGGAGGTGGAAATAGGTAGTAATAGGTAATGTTTTCTGTTCTTTTTTAACTCACGAATTATGTGACGGTTATTTAGAGTACTGAGGTTCAGTACGGGCCTACATTAATTGCTAATTGAAGAACGATTGAGCTTATTCTGATACGAATAGTCTCTATTACGGATTCGATAGATCAGGAGCTGGTGAACAACACATTAATATTCCATTGTTATATATAAATATAAGAAAACCAACGCGAATGCAAGGAAACTTGATATTTAGGCAGATAAATCGAAATAATACAAATCCGTTTATATAGTAGCAAAATCATGACTTTAAACTACACAGAAGATTAGCAAACTATAAGTAGTGACAATCAATCAGAAAAGGCCAAAGGTCACGTGAAAATCTCTACCAAAAAATACTAGCGGTCGTGGTTACCAGTAAAAATTTCACATTACAGAAAGTTGGATAACCCCGTGATCTCCTTAGACCATCATAATCAACAAAGAGCTTCGCACATGTGTGGATCGGCTCAATCTACCACATCCTATTCTCACGTCGAGATGAAATTACCAAGTTTGGTATTATAAATGTTCGAAGTATCACTGATAACATAAACGATTAGAAATGGAGAATATGATTCGAGAAAAACCATTTCACAGAATAAAAGGTATAAAATAGTTTTGAAACTCAAGATCTGGAGGAAAGTGAAGAGTGAATACATCTACTCCATTGTGACCAATATCGAGCGACATCGCTCAATATCTCCAACTACTAAATAGTACTATTTAAACTTGGATTAATTTTAATTTGGTTATTTATTCACTGAAGAAGTGACTTACACTAAGTCACGAAACGTCAGAAAATTTAATTTTTCTACTCATTGGGATATTACCTAATGCTCAATTTATTCGAACTTATCAAATCAAACCTTGGTAATGATACCTACAATCTCCAAGTACTGATTAGGGGAATCGCGCGGACCTCAGTCACTCTACATCTACCGACATGACTGAGACTAGCAGTCAGTGACTTGAGGCACTGTGTTGATTTCATTAGTGACAACGATTAATAATGATGCTAATGAAATATCGATTCTTATTTACTTCATATACATTCTGTCGGTTATCATTATTGAGAACGACGGAAAATGAAAAGTCCAATACAAAAGTATTTTGGGTGCATATATTTCTTTTACCATTGACGTCTCACGGTTGTGCAGCAGAAAAAATATTCTGCTGTTCTTATAGCTGATTGATCACTGAGTGGTGACCGATGTCATGTATATTAAGTTCACATTACAACTTGATCTTTAGAATTCAACCAGCAACAAGAAGAACTCGGGAAACACGACATTTATCAGTACTTATTAGTCAGAAAATTGTAAATACACCCTAGTCCTACAACGGATCAGTCATCACCCTAATAGCTCAGTGGTATCGTCTGTGACTATGATACTGAGTGACAGGACATCGAATCAGCCAAGAAGTATCAGTTTCTTCGAAATTACGAGTAGATTTTACTGATGTGTCAAATGATACGAAACCCCAGTCCAGGGTTTCCTTTCAAACCGTCTTCAACTACCTTCCAACACTTCTGTACAATACATTACTTAAATCATTTATTTTTTCTGTGTCACAACTAGCACCAACTAGGTGAATCTTCTACATACTTAGTGGACTTCATTAGTAATTAGGTCATTAAATTTCTCAAGCTGGTGAATGAATTAATTTTTTGGAATATTTTGTTTTGTTAAATTCTTGAAACACTATATATTAACTACGGTCGGCTTAAACCATTCTCATTTTGTCATTAATCGTTTTCTTTTCTCGAAACAACTCATTCTATCGACTTTTCTTCATTTAAAAACACATATAACTGAATTTGTAACAGTTTTGTATTAGTTCAAGTAGCATCACTTCACAGATCAACTGACAGATAACGAAATAAATGCGAAGATAATAGTAGCAAAGAGTTAAAAAAGAAAATAGTAGAAATTCATAAAGACAGCGAACATAATAGATAAAATGTACATTAATTATTATTAAAAGGACAGTTTGATAGATTTGTATCATTTTTATGCGTATTTTAAAGTAATACCTTGCCAGATTAATGCTAACTGTATATTTTTATAACTATCAATGTCAGTTATTTGATTAATGACATCAAAGGAGTTGATTAATTTGAGAAAGAAAATTGTACCATCAATTTAATGAGACATTTTTAGCTAAAAGCCATATATATATATATATATATATATATATATATATATATATATATATATCACTACGCATCAAATATAATAGTTCATACGACTACTTATATTGTTTTTTTTACTGGGGGTGGACATCTTTTTTTATCTTGATTTGCATTTAGTTTTTATGACAGAGAATCAGATTTGCCATAAACTTTAAATGGTATTTTAGGACAAATATCAAGCATAAATCTTACTATTATGGCTCTTTAGCATTGTTTCGTTGAACAAGCACACTATTCTCTACGGATTATTATAAGAATAACGTTCTATGGATCATGTAATAAGTAACCTACCTATTTTCATCTGTTATAATCTCTGTGTAGAATAATTATCCATCTAAATGACATACTATAACTCCTGTTTGTTACATGCTTAATTCATTTGTAAATATCTTTCATTTTCAAAGTTTATTTTCAAATCAACATTTATTTTCATTTATAATACTTTGATAATTCATCAAAACCATAGTTCTAACATAAAAACAATTGAATGGATATGTAACATAGAAACATACTGATCATTACTCAATTGAGAATTTACATTTACATGCGCAGAAATTACATTAATTATTATCCATAATCCGATAGGGGTTTTGTGGATATTATAGTAATTTAATAGTTGAATTCATGAGTCAATTGAATCTAGACCACCAAGAGGTATTTTCTGGAGTTCTAGTGAGAAGCCGTGACCAGTAGAGTTCAACCACGTCTGTTGTGAGACAGTAACTCACTGAAGACAATGGTGGACGGTGGCTCAACTTCGTAGATTGGTTGAAGCTAGACATTAACACCATTGGATGCCGGCTCATCGGTTAAGCACTCGCGCACCAGGCCGATAAGTCTTGTGTTCGAATACCGCGAGTCCCATGCAAGAACAAAACAGCCGTTCAGTGCTTCCAGGTTTCCCATGGTCGCCTAGCTTCAATTGACTCATGACTCAAGATATACTCTACTTATTATTAACACAGATATTTCATTTCGGTTACAATATGTCATCTAATAAATTTCTACCTTTTATATGCTCAAATGAATCTTAACAAGTTTTACACCAATTTTGTTGACGGTAATTTCAACGAAAACTTATCAATGAAATAAAACTGTGCGATTGTAAATTGAATTAAAATTTCAGGAAATTTAATCTGTTTATCATGCTTTAAAATGTAATTTTGTTATTCTTTTACCACCAAAATATTCAATAATCCTTTTGTAACATTTTTCTTCATAGAAATTCCTGTAACAGATCCTAGATTTAAGGCGAAAATTGCCGGTAAAAGACCAATTCATGTAATTTGTGAACCTAACCAAGTTTATTGGTGGTGTTCTTGTGGTCATAGTAAACGTCAACCATTCTGTGATGGACATCATATTCGGATTTTAGGCTCAAATCCAACGTTTAAAATCAATAAGCGAGAATTCAAACCCATTCGTTTAGTTTATGAACAGTAAGTTAATCCTGTTTTCTTACTACTTTTATGACTAACCCACTTCATTGTTAATGCTCTCCTTTTTCGTGTTAAAAAAAAATCGATATCACTTACATCAGTTGTAACTCTCGAGTACAACATGTCAATTATAAAGTTACTTTGATTACTTTTATATTGAGAATATTTAGCACTGAAAGATAAAGAGGAACGTGAATTAACTAAGTTTGTCTTGAATGTTGTTAAGGATGTGTAGACTGTTGTCACTTTCCGGTTACTCACACCGTAGAACGATATTTATTGTGGTACCTTAAAAGGAAATTAAATGATTAGTACAGTGATCTTGGCGACCCGGAAGAATGACCGCAGAGCCCAAATAACAGTTACTTGAGACTTGTCACATAGGTCATTTTGCAAGTATTTCTTGTTGTGTTGGCTTTGTCCTTTGAAGGGACTACCAATGGCTACGGAAGTTCTCGGAGTAAGGCGAGGTGTGCTATTCTTAATCCCTACATTGTCTAACTCATCCTCCCGTTATGGATAGACCGGATCGCTGCTAATGTTGGTTGACAGAGAGCAACACCTTGCTACCATCATATCAGTACGGTCAATAGTACAACTTCACCCAACTACTGGTTACGATCATCGCGCGGACCCCAACCAAGTAATATGAATTTACCAAATGGCTCAGACCAGAAGTTAGTGACTTTATGAACTGATCCCACGTTTTGGTTTAGCTGCCCCCTAACTTTCTTCCATCCGTCTCCAACACTCGTCAGCATTGCACGTCGCGGTAATCGGTAGTTAGGCAAGCGTAATACATGGCCCAACCATCTCAGTCTATGAAGATTCACGATCTCATCAACGGATTTATCACCATTCTCTAATACCCTGCGTCTAACCACACTATTACTCACCTGGTGATCCCAGCAGATGTGATTAATATGCCTAAGACATCTGTGATCAAACACTAGAAACTTACGAGTATCTTCCACTCTTAATGATCACGTTTCGCAGCCGTAAAATGGAACAGAACGAACTACTGCGCAGTATGCTCTTCCCATGGTTGATAGACGGATATCTCGCCTTCGTCATAGGTGATGTAAGTTGGCAAAAGCCAAACGAGCTTTTCGAATCCATGCAGAGATTTTGTCAGACACCAACCCATTGTAGCTGATCAAACTTTCAATATAAGTGAAGTTGTCGATGCGTTCGACTACTAATGTTTTGTTAAAATCTATGGTTTAATGAATATTCTACTGCTCAAAACTTCTTACCACTAGAATAACCCTTTTTTAAGACTAACAAGGATCAAGGCATTTTTTCTTTACTAGAAATGATAACAGCTCAATTTATCTATATGTGTAAATATTTACAAGTTATTAGAAAATTTACTGTATACTTAGGAATGATTGATTCATGAATCAGCGGATTTAGATAAACGTAGTTGTTTTATTTACTACAATGTCTATCCTTCCTTTGATGAATCAGCATAAAATCCATGCTCATTATGTAGATGTCAGTATATTATAATTAAGCAATAATTATCCGTTGCAGTAGGTTGAAAAAACAAAGAATATTGTTGTAACATTAGTCAATAAAGTTCGAAGTTTAGAATACTGAGAAATTTAGTCTATTAACAAATATAAGTAGATGTTTTCAATCACATCCTTTTTGCCACGTAGTACAAATACTAATTTTCTAAGTAAAGTATAGTTTGAAATCTGTATTTAGCTCTACGTTGAATAAGTTTGTATGTAGATGAATGAATAGTGACTGATGTAATAAAACTATCAAATGGTTTCCAAGGCTAACAAATATTTTTCGCAAACAGTTGATTCCAATTTTACTATTAAACCTTTTGGCTATTTGCATAATCTTAAATAACAGAAATTTTAATTCATTTTTGTATTGGTTGTTTTAATCTTCTCATTGATGCTTAGCACTGCAATTGATCAGTTTCTTACTGGCATATGTTCATCCTGTGCCTTCAGTCACAAACATTATCTCTTCTTATAATAAAAATAATTTGTCTCATAAGTATTGTACACTTATAAATGAATTTATGAAATTTGAATATCTCTTTGAATAAAGTACACCAATCTTATACTTAAGAGAATTTTTTAATGGAGCAATGATCCTTAGTTAACCTAGGACATAACGACATTGTTAGCTAGTGCTAATTTTTATCACTAACATCACTGACATGCCTGCTGCATGATTTTCCCTTTTCATGTATTTCAAGTTTGGACTGAAATAATTTCTTTAAGAAATTAGAAATACCTAGTCAATAATGATGCCTTTTAATCAAATCGTAGTAAAATGTCATTGATATATATAACGTTCCCCTCTTTTTTATTTTAGACCATCTGAAGTATGGTTTTGTACATGTAAACAGACATCAGAACCACCCTATTGTGATGGAAGCCATAATTGTGAAGAAGTACAGTCTAAAACTAAACACTAATTACATTTTTTTCTATAAAGTTAGCCATTGTATAAAAAGTCACTTGGATACACCTTTGTGTAATATAATCTTATGAGTATAATAGATAAAATTTGGTATAGTTGTATTGACTATGTATGTTTTGTTTATTGCATCATCAACTTGCCTGTCAATTTATGCTATCACCTTAAATAGTCTACATTGACCGTATCCTTAAAACATCAATCAATATATCTTGTGACTGAAACTTAAATGGGTGTTTTTTTGTGTATTAGTCTAAAAACCGTTCATTCGATCCATCAAGTTGAATTGTGAACATTAGATTGAGAAACGTAACATCCCAGCATACTGTGTTTGATGTTACTTGGTTAGAGATAATCAATATAGTAATCCATTAATCCAGGTGTCATGATATTAGTTACTCATCAGTAATGTGGATATGTATCTCCAGGGAACTGGTGCTTTCTATGAAGTTAAATGATGATTCATCCGGCCGGACAGATGTATTGTAGTGAACGAGAACACAAGTGGGTACAATCGAATGTATTTGGACACAAAATTACATAACACCATAGTAAAATCTCAGAACCATACAGTAAATACTTCATTTGCAAAATGTCAATAAATTGTCTCAAACTTGACTGTTCCTTCTGCAAAATGTCAACCAATCGTTTGAAACTTTATTGTTCTTTCGTTTCCAAACCAATCATTCTCCGTTCTCGTTCTCTTTGCTTCGATCCTTTTAACCTTCTGCCGCCAGACATTTCACTTTCGATTGATGATACATACTATTTATTTCTGTCGACATCAGTAGCACACACGACAATATGACCAATAAGCTGTTTTAACGACGGTCTCCAATTTCAAGGTTAGAAAAGTTTTCTTCGGGATTGCAGATACGTATATTAGTGACGAGTACCTAATTTATTTTCACGACTTCTATTGCTGATCCTCTTCATGCTTGGTAACATAATATTGTTAGTGTTAGTTTAAATTATCGCGTAGATCTCGCCTTATAATCTGGATACGAAATTCTGTGCCAACTTTTACAAATTAAGGAGTTCTTTCAGTTTTGAGTGTTATAAAGCTAAAACTGAATCAATCACAAATAGAATAACTAAAGAAATGATGGGTTACTAAAGAAATCTCATATATGCTACTCCGTTTCTAGATTTCTCTGCAGTTAATGCTTATGACATCAATCTGGTGATGATCGAGTTTGATTTACAATTCTCTGGTTGCCTTCTTCAATTTTTGTCCGATAGTGTAATAGAATTTTTTGTCTCCAAGTGCACAGTATGTTTTTGTTCTTGCCTGCGCTATAGACTACGGTTTTACAGACACGGCAAATATATTAAACAAGTATACATCATGTTAAAAATTCATTTGATTAAAGTTGGATTTCATTGAATAAACCCTTCAGTTTAATCAATTGAAATATTTACTCATCTTGATTTTCCCAAAGTGATTTCTACTAAGTCCCGGTGAAGCACAGTTCTTTCAAGTATGTGGTAAATAATTAATAACTAATAATTACGAACTCACATAGAGACACAGTCAGTCAGTCAGCTACAACGTAGGACCAGGCACATATATGCATCGGTCCAGGTTGCCATACCTCGTTAGCACAGCAAGATGAACACCGGATTCATAGGAGTGGATAGGTTAAAGGTGGTAATATATAGGAGAAAGATTGCATATAAGGATACAGTACCGGAATATAGAATTAGTTCGTAGAAAGATAGATATGAAGCGATTTTAATCTCTTAGTTTAAGGGAAGACAGGGAGTGTATACACCGACGCCATTGTGATCGATTCTGAGCCATGTCACCCACGGTCTCCAACCATTGGTTACGAAAGTCACGCTGACCCCAACCAAGTAGTCTGCATCTACCAACATGGCTCAGACTAGCAGTCAGTGACTTCAAACACTGATGCCACGTTTTGGTCTGGCCGCCCCTAACTTTCTTCCAACCATTTCCAATACCGGATAGCATTGCACGTCGTGGTAATCGGTGTTCAGGCATACGTAACACGTGGCCCAACCATCTCAGTCGATGAAGGTTAACAACCTCATCAACTGATTTCCCATCATTCCCTAATACCCTGTGTCGAACCTCACTATCACTTACCCGGTCATCCCAGCAGACGCCATCAATATTTCTAAGGCATCTGTGGTCAAATACTAGTAGCTCACGGGTGTCTTCTACTCTTAAAGGTCATGTTTTGCTGCCGTAAAGTAAGACAGAACGTACTGCCGCGCAGTATACTCGTCCTTTTATTGATAGACGGATATCTCGCCTTCGCCAAAGATGACGTAAGTTGGCAAAAGCCAAACGAGCTTTTCGAATCCGTGCTGAGATTTCGTCCGATACCAACCCATTAGGGCTGATCAGACTTCCAAGATAAGTGAAGTTGTTAAACTAATCCCTCTGTGGTTGTCACAAGATGATTTTGACCCTTTCTTATATATTGAGACGATAAGTGATGGCGACCAGTCGGATGGCATAACATCTAACTCCCAGATCTTAGCTAAAACATTAGTCACCTAACCGCTAAAATTGGACCACCATCCTTAAAGACCTCAGGAGCCAATCTATCTGGACTAGCTGCCCTTCCTCGTTTCAGATTAACTATAGCCTTTTGAACTTCTGCTAGGGTTGCGGGACCTACTTCAATGTTCGATTCACATTGTCTGGGAATGGATGGTAGTTGTAGAGTCGCTGAAGGCCAGCTGAACTGTTCTCTGAAATGTTCCGCCCATCGTTCTAAACGTCTGGGCAGGGAATAGATGAGAGTATCGTCTTTTTCCGAAATAATCTCACTTACACTTGACTTATTAGTTCCAGTTTCTTTTATTAGTCTGTAGAGCTGTCTTGTGTTCCCTATAGTCGCCGCCTTTTCCATCTCTTTTGTTTTCGTTACTCACCACTGCTCACGGTCGTTCCTTAGACTTTTTCTTAACCTAGATCTGATTTGTTTACGTTCGTCATCATGTTCAGAACCTGATTGTACGAGTTTGCGAGAATCCATCAGTGTGATAGACTTTGAAGAAATCCACTGGTTCTTTGTAACTCTGTGGTTTAAGTCACTAATAGATGTCACTGTTGTTTCCACAGCTGATTGTATGCCTTTCCAAGCAACATCTGGGTCAGCCTCGTTTTCAGAACTACCTAATTGTGACCTCAGTTGTTCCTGGAACTTACTTTTGGTTTTCTCGTTACTCAACTCAGTTCTAATGGGTCTTTTTAATGTGGCTGTTTTGCGTCCAGTGAGGCGCAAGCAGATGCGTGCTCGTATTAGGGCTTGGTCGGAGTCCAAGCAGGTACTCCAGAATGAGCGACAATCTTCTACCGACCCTCTCCAACGATGACTGATGGCAATATGGTCTATTTGAGTCCATCGTTGGTTTGGTGTTGGGGGTCGCCATGTTAGTTGATGTCTCTCCTTATGCTTAAAATTTGTGTTTGCTAAAAATAAACGATTGTATGATTATAGTTGCAGCAGACGATCACCATTATCTGTTCGCTGTGTCGGAATACTAAAATATCCACCTAAATGCCTTTCTGTTTGGTTTAAACTACCTATCTGAGCATTAAAGTCACCTGCTACGAGTACTATGTCTGAACGTTTAGCTTTCTGAAGAAGTTCAGATAGCTCTCTGTAAAATTCATCTTTCATCTGAGCTGCAGTCGGTGGGAGCGTAGGCAGAAACGACAAAAAGGCAACGACGTGTGTCCCTATCCTTCCGAGTTCTTACGGAATAGGAATTGAAGAGGGAGGTTGATTATGTATACAGTGGTCTTGAGTGCTGTTAAAGGTATGAAGGCGGTCATCACTTCCCGGTTGCCCACACCGTGGAAGGGTTCTTCTGGAGGTACCTGCAAAGGAAATTGGATTCGAGGTGGTCTTAATGACCAGGGAGCATGCTCGCAGTGCCCAAGGGATAACTGCTTGAGGTCGGTCACACACGACCTTTTTATGGGCAATTTTCGTGTTAGCTCCGTACTTGTTGAGACCTTACCGCCGGAGACGGATATCCGTGGGATAAGGCGAGGTGTGCATTTTTAGGGTCGACCTTTTCTAACCCCACCCCTCCTTGTGGGAAGGCAGCATCGCTGTCATGCTGGTTGTCTGAAGGAAACACCTTACTGCTGTCACACCTCTGTACAGTCAGCAGTACGACTTCGCCTTCGGACCTTAGGTTTGTTGCTTTTAGTCTTACCGCTCTTCAACCGATCTTTCTGACGTGGTAGAACCTTGAGGAACAGTTGTTCCAGTCAGTATAGCTCGGTCGCTTCATCACGATAGGCAAGCCCGACCACCACGTCAAGGTAGCAACAACGGTCGGGGCATAGAGACACAGTATCTGAAGTAAAACCAAGAAATGAAACTGAATACTTTTATGTAAATTCATTCAGAAAATGATATGCTTGTAAGCCCATCATAATAACTACTAAGTTTACGATCAGTAAACCTATACTGAACAGATGAGTTGATCAGCCGTGCTACTTCAAAATCGAAATAAATAAACCATGATCGATTTTTACTGTTGGGCGAATCATGACTGGTTGCGATAAATTCATCGTAATCAAGTATTATCAGGAAGTTTAACTGTTTAGAAAGACGATACTATGTTTTTATGAGCATAACTTTACAGATAAAGCTTCTTAGGCAAACCGTATGAAATCGTTTCAGTGAAATTAATGTTGACGTAATAAGTCATTCGAGTCTAATACTGAGGTAAATAATATTATAACAAAGAAAGGAACGGAAATACAGAATGCGTTTATTTATTTAGCTTGTAGGTTTTAGGAATATAAGGCAGAACTCTTCAAAATAGGTCATAATTAAAATATATTTAGATTGGATTATGTGAAATGTTCACCAAATCTCTAATTTTCGTTTCTCATGGTCATCTGTTTTCAAATTCACTAAGAACTGGCCATGTCATTTTAACATTCGTTTGGGGTCGTCGTTATATCGTAAGATGTACAAGAGGAAAAACGTATGCTACTGG